TCAAAAGCCTTTAATAAAGCATGAGCATTAGCACCTCCGAAGCCAAATGAACTCACACCAATATACGGTTTTTCCAAGTTCGTTGTATCTTTTACAACTATCAAGCGTCCTTCGGCTAAAGCAGAAATTTCTGATTTTATCTCCGTAAAGTTAATATTAGGTGCAATTTTCCCTGTTTCAAATGCAAAGCAGGCCTTAGCCAATGAGGAAACCCCGGATGCTGGTTCAGCGTGGCCTATATTCGATTTGACTGAACCTACCAATAGAGGTGTAGAACGTTGACTACAAAGGACGTTATCAATTGCTCGACATTCTTCCGGATCTCCGGCTCTTGTACCAGTACTGTGAGCTTCCAAATAACCTAATTGTTCTGGACAAACATCAATTTCCTGATAAAACTCCCTGAGCAGTTTTTCTTGTAATTTTCCGGAAGGATAAGTAATTCCTTCTGGCTTATAACCGTCACAATTGGTTTTTGAGTACACTATGCTAGCATACACGCGATTAGCATCACGTTTGCGCTGCAAGAATAAGCAACTGATAGTTTCAGACCGGGTGTAGCCAGAAGCATGTTGATCAAAAGGTCTACAATAACCATCAGTGGCCAAAACACCAAGTCTGCAATAGACAGTTGGACCTTGCAAATTTCAATATGACTTTGATAATTAATGATACATACCGGGCAAATTGCAACGTTACAAATGGGTGCAAACATAAATTTGAGCCACCAACAATAGCTGCATCTATTTCACCGTTGCGAAAAGCGGTAAAGGCATTGTCTAAAGCATACATTGAACTAGAACAAGCTGTATCTAATAAGAATGAGGGCCCTTCCAAGCCCAAACTATATGAAATGCGGTTTGGCAACATGGCACGACTGCAGCCCGTTATGCCGAAACCCCCAGATGAAACTTTTTCATAGAACCAGGTCTTTTCCGATTCGGAGACGCAAGCGCCTATGTAAACTCCTGTCCTAGTCCCACGTAAGCTTTTTGGATTGACGCCGGCGTCAATGACCGCTTCGTAAGCAATTTCAATCAACATTCGTGTTTGTGGATCCATTGTATGGCTTTGTTTAAAATGTACTCCAAAGAAAGTCGCATCGAATTTCTCTAAATCATAAAGTTTTCCACTCCGTTTAGGAATTTCAGGATGAAAATGCCGCCAACGCCGTTCATCATCGTCTATCATATCGATCTTTAAAAGCATTAAAAAAAGAAAAAATAACAATAAAGGTTGCCGCTGGACGCTTTAAAAAAAAACTGGCAAAAACAATGTAGTGCACCACAACCCACCGTTAAATACCCTATAATGTTCCACAGTAATTCATGCAACGACGTTTGATAACAAGGCTTTACGTAGAAAGTGGTCCATCGGAACCACTTTCGATTTCGTCCTTGAGACAAAACAAGCCAGTGTAAAAAATTGTATCTGAAAAATGTCCGCTTGTAGATTGAGCACAAGAAAATAAGATAGCAGGGGGACAAAAGACAGGCGAACAGGCCTAGATCGATTCGAGAAAGCAATTCGGAATCGATGGGTATCACAAAGGGTGAATCTACCCCACGCCCATTTGCATGCTGCGTACATCAGAAGTAGTTTCAGGGGGTTTAACGCAGGTGCCTGCCGGAAAGGCTCCACCCTGCGGTGCCCGCTGGCACACGGAGTGAAACGTCACTCACGTCCCACAGGGAGCAGGGAGGCTCCCTACAGTTCCAGATCAAGGGCATGTGCATGGCATGCCTTTCCTTCCGGTGGAGGCGAGGCCTACCTAACACCTCAAATATTTAATGTTCCCGCGATATTGGGGGCAACCACAGCCACCACGAGACTCCCCTAGGGGCCGTCCCAGCGGTCAGGCAGAGGACCCACACTACGAGGATTCTGCTGCAGCAAGACCTGCAGCCAGCAATTCCTTGCAGAGAGGATTGGGCAGCCTGACCCCCGTGGTACCTTACTTATTTTAAAAGTCTAAGGTCAGACTTTTGGCAGCACAAACTTAATAAACCCTTGCGTCGTAAATAACCAATACCCAACAGAGGAAGTGATATTCTTTGAATTCCTTAACTTTAACAGCTAACGTAAACTATGCTGTTCTTGTTGTGGCTAAAGCCTTAACTAAAAGAAAAGATTTTAATTGGTTTTAAACTATAATAGAATACGCGGCACAAATGGCACGAATGCACATATAAAGCCGGCAAAGCAATGAAAAAGGAACCGGAAAGGAGAAACGCATAAACGAACGTCAGATCTTTACGATGAACGGCAATAGCCGAAATGACTTAATTACTTCAATAGTTCATTCAATAGTTAACTAATCAATTAATTCGAAATTGAATAGAAATTGAATAAATCCATGTATAACTGCTTTCGACAATATCCCCTGCAACGATAAAATTCCTTCCAACCATTTACTTCGGATGTAGGTTGCGTTTGCTTTTGGTTTGGTTCGACATAAGACTTTCGGTCCAATTTACGTTTAATTTGGTTTCGTGTATGATTTGCTACTCGGAATGTAGAAATTGTTTACTTTCGATTAGTTCGTTATGTGATTTTTGCTCTGGTGGTTTTATTGGCTTTCGATTTGCTTCGATATGGGACTTTGTTTCGTACAAAATGATGTTGTACTCTAAGTCGTATAAGTTGTATGCTTCATGCTCCGTGGAAAAACTTACAACGCAGGTGTTTATCATAGTGTTTTCAAGCATGACTGGTTGTCGTTAAGAAAAGCTAGTAATCTATGGGATAATATTTCTTTTGCATATGATATGCAATCACAATTAACGCAAAATTATACTAAAAGTAAATGATTTACTTTGTTTGATATTTTAAACGCACACACTTAAATCTTCGTAGATGTGTTTTTAATTAAGTTATGATTGTTGCACACACCTTGTTATAAAGTTTATATTCATACTCATCAATATTATGACAATTGGGAAATTTTCCGGCCATTCCCGAGATGACAACGTCATCACCATCGGTTGCTGGATACACACGTGAAAATTTTTTGTCTTTATTTCCATTTTGAAAATTCACTTTATCCTTATAATTGGGCATGATTAATAATTTAATAGATATCAATGAACAAAATGATTTTTAAAGCGATTTATATATAAATCGAATATAGAACGTATCTCTAAAATGAACACTTTAACGGTTATTGGTATACGAAACTTTGAAGTGTTCGTACTTTGTGACCAACTGCAATTAAATCCCGAACGGATTATACGCCTATTTATATATAAATGAAACAAAATTAATTAAACATTCTGTAATATGTAAAAAATTTTATTTCAATTTACGTATAATTGCAGGTTGTTAGAGCCAATCATATGATAATTAATGAAAACGCATTAATTAAGCAAAACAGGGATAAATAATGAAATTCATTTATGCCGTAAAAATATTACTTGAGTTCACTGTACACACATTACGATCGAATAGTGATCCGTCGCGGAGTTTAAGAAAGGAAAAGTTACGGATATAAGAACTTTGGATACTTACCTTATGCATTAAATGAATATTAAGAAAGAAATTCAGTTAAAATTTAGGATTTTAATAGCATTGAGTTAAAAAATCACTGCTACTCAGCCGGGCCACGTATATTTTAAATTCACGAATCACGATGTCCGCAAGCGTGATACTTAGAAAGAAGTGAGATGGGCGGCATAGAAAGTCGCAGCCTAACTGCTTTTAATATATCCATCATCATGCATGAAAGACGAAGTGTAGATAATTGACTTTAGAAGTCATTAGTTTAGAAGATTTGTTTCAGAATTCAGTCGTTAATGTGAAACTTGCGACCAAAACGCGTAGAACTTATCTCTTGTAGGAAACTGTCATCTATGTTTCGGAAATGAATCATTTACTACGGCTTTGAATCTTTTCATTAAAAGCATGCTTGATGTAGAAGTGTAAAGTCGAAAAAGATTCTGGATATTGTGTCAATATTCTGTTCAGTGGTCCCTTGTGATCTAAGAGGCGATCTAAAGAGATTTTTTAATGAAAGTGAAGCATTTTCATAAAATAAAAATACAAAAAAAAAAGAAAACAAAACTCATGTTTTCGTAAACATTTATATTATTATATTAAGTAAGCAAGTTTTCCGAACGTCTGCCTTTCCGAGCTACAAAAAAGTTGTACGTAAATTGAAAGTTCTTTGAGGGTTTGTTAATTCATTATTCACATGACTTTATTGAACTTAATCGACTATTTATTCAATTATAATGTAAATTTAATTGTTTATGAATTGAAAATGAATGGAGAGCGAAGTGAACTTAGCGTGAAGTGCGTGAATACTCAACCATTACATTTTTATTTATTTAAAATTAATCGCGGACTTGGTATATGGGATAAACGATGTTACAATTTCAAGAAAGCGCGATCGTTCATTGATCTTGTTGTTATTGTTGATAGCATAACTGAAGAAATTCACCTTAAAAATTAACCGACAGTGCATTAAATCGATACAATATAACGTTCGATTTTTATGCATTTATTTTGTCGAATGAAATTGTTGGATCCGTTAAAAGTGTTGCACAAATAAATCAGTTCTCATTTGCCGTTGCGCAGATTTTAATACAAAAGTGTCTGGATTAAATGAATCCCAGTTCGTTCGTAAACGTATCTTAATTTTTTTTGCTGTTTTTTTTTTCAATCCAGTTCTGAAATTCACAAATTAACCAGCATGTCCGTCCATCTATTGCATGTAAGTGAAAAAGTGTGAAAACACTTGGAAAAATTTACGCAAATCGTGCTGCTTCTTTCCCAATTTCTTACTATAGTTATTGTACCCTACATCGCTTGTGATATGTTAAGTGCATATTAATTTTATGCGGATGTACACAACACACAGAACGGCTTGAAGTAGGCATAGCTGTTGTTATTCCGATCGATTCTGATCTATTTTCTAAGCTTGTCTGTGGGTCTGTCTAGTATCTTATCTTCTATTTCGATTAAGTTTGGCGTATTGAGCGGCTATTCAAAATTGTTTTTTAAACACTTCCCTTACAACGCGTTATCTTGAAAGGTTCTTACTTAAGTAAGTTTTTAACGAGCGAAGCGACGTAGGGTATTCAAATGTGGGCCGTAGCTCACTACAACGTCTTTACTTGTTTTGTTTTTCCTTTTTTTTTTTTACAAAAATGAAATATATAATGAATCATAAATATATTAAATGATTGTTATGTACACTGGGTTAAACACATACTACGCGTAAATTAGATACATATATATATATATGTATATATATATTTATAGAGACACTACGCAACGCTGGATTCTTCTGATAACATTTCTTTGATGCGAGCCTGTCGCTTAAGACGAGGAGGAGGAACAGGCGTTATCTCAGCACAGTCTTTATCGAATCTTTTAGGAGATTTTAAAGAGTCGCATAAATTGGACGTAGTGATTGTCGTAGGTATGGATGGGCACATTTTAAGTCTTGATGGATGATCGGCAATAAGTTTCTTCTTGCATAAACGATTAACCAAGCGCTGTTTCCATACGTTAACTCGTGCCCTTTCGTTGCGATATAAATACCAAATCACAAAGGTACATAAAATTAAGAACACAATCAACAGAACGAGCAATAACATTGCGTAATTGAAATTTTCGGATGCTTGAGGTTTTTCTTCCGGGGTTATCGTATCATTTGTTAATGGACCTTTAGGACGTATTGTCGTACGAATGGTTGGGCGTAGAGGTCGTTTGGGTATAGAAACGTGCTCGCTCAAAGCAATATCAGAACACGAACGAAATTCTTCTTGAGGACCACAACCAACGGCTCCATTTCCATCTGGACACATACCCCAATTATTACCGGCCACATATCGCCATTGGAGAACGCATTGATTGCATTTCATATCTACAAAAAGAATGTAACATGAAATCGTCTTTAGATGTTTGACTCTTTAGCGTCCCTTACCGGGCAATAAAGCTTTCATTTCGTAAATTCGACTTCCGTTTCGTGGGTAAAACCGTGTTTCCATATCACCTGGCGAAGGTTGAGCTGGAGCTCCGCTTGAAATTGTCAACAAATTGCGATCTAAGCACTCTTGCTTACCATTCGGATCAGGGCATATACGAAATTCAAAGTAACTACAAACAAAAAAATGATTCTCATTATTCCGAATAAATTCGTTCGACAGGGAACAAAGGCATTCAGAGCGTATGAAGCCAGTGAAATTATTCAAATTAAAATGATTTATTTACCCCATATGACTTGCTGTCAATTCCACTCGAATTGTTATTTCGGATGCAGGGAAATAACGACGTACTACAACGCCTTGTCCCCATTGCCCACCGTTTTCATGTGGCCTCGGCGTTGGCATATCCCAGGCATCACCACATTCCCCGCATTTTCCGTCGTTCCGCTTCCATTGACGTGTGAAGCCGCCACAATATAGCTCGTGGTCATTGTAATCTGGCGGAGTATTAAAGCCATAACGCCAAGCTGACGAGCGACTTGGCGGCTCAATGAGTCTCCCATGACCCCAACACCAAGGCACGTAACCAAGGACAGCTAAAATAAGCAAAACCATTCGAAGTAACATTTGAGCTTCAATGCCATTAGTTCCAGCCATTTTTATTCAAGCTTCAATGGTCATCACGTGAATAATGCATTCATGTTTTATATCTGAAATTCATTTTATATTAAAGTTGATTTAAATTGAAATTTTTGATTTTTCTAACAATTACTGGCACTATTCTGACTTTTCATATTTTTACCTAAACCTTATCTTAACTACGAATGATTTTTCGAGGAACAGGCTGATTTACAAACGGTTTGTGAGACAATCTGGCAAGACATATCTGGAATACCAGATATGAAAGTTTAGGTTCGGTCCAAACTTTCCATGCAATTAAGTTCCCGTCGCCGGATTGTCGCACTGGTTAAGAAGATTATTGAAGAGGAGGTTACTAACGACAAAGTAACTTAGCCGAGCGGGTAAGACTCGCGACTATCAAATCGGTGAATTTGTTTGCGAATTCCAATGTCAATTCTACTCCACCGTATGGTAGGTATTAGCGAGTGTTTAGTGGGTAACGGCAGAGCACATGATGATTGATTTGATTAAGAAAACGAGAGATATCTACGAAAATTATACGACTGTTACGAAAACATTTTACTTTATCAAGATCAAAAAAGAAATTCCAGAACTAAAATCATATGTGCATTAGCAACTGAGGCTCTTTTTTAAGAAGGTAGACTATATGTCTACCTAGACGTTACTCTAGTTATTTTAATGAAGGTTTCATGTTCATCAGGTACTTTCAAGATGGCCGTAGTTGCGAACGTGAATCTTCGTATTTCTTGCATTCACGAACCATGCGTTTAATAGGATTATTTGCGCCGCCCCGCCGGGGGGGGGGGGGGGGGGGGGGGTATATTTCTTAAGGATCCTTCGGACCAAGGCGAATTCTTGCAAATATTTTGTTCTAAATTTTGCCAATACTGGTTGGATATAGTGGGGGAATAACATTAGAATGAACATGAAAGTAATGTGGATAGTAGTGCTATCTATTATTCTCATCAATTATCCCTTTCATTTCTATACCTTACACTTAATGTACAGTCACAGCTTTAATAAATTCTACTACACTTAATATACACTTGCAGCGTGTCGTCGCACGAATGTTATATCGATTTAAGTTTTTCTATCCGTCTGTCTGTCTGTCTCGTCTTGGTCGAAAGACGAACACTATTGAAAATAGTTCAGATCGGACCACTTTTTCGAACACTCTCCTTGTAAAGCCTTAGTTTGAAAAGTCGAATAACTCTTTTAGACGAAATTGTTAAGGTGTTTGATAGTGGGCCGTGTCCTACTGTAATGTCTCTACTTGTTTTTCTAACATATATTTGAAGGTCAATCTTCCCCATTAATAGTGCCGAAGACGAATTTCAATAAAAAGTAAAATCAAAAGAGTTTTCGATTGCTTGCTTCTTCGAACTATTATGACAAAATCTATTACGTACATGTCGCGTTCTTTCCCTACACCAATTGAAAAAGTAGATATAAATATGCATATTATACTATATCTATGTATAGATATATGATTATAACCCTTTAAAATCATTGTAGGTCCTTGAGATTTGTGAAAAAAAGCCATTTTTTTGGCAGTTCTTCGATATTTATTTTGTGTATTGTTTCTATCAACCGAAATATATATTTCTATTCACGTTTTATCCAAAATTAAGAAATTGAAATAAAACAAAATCGAAAATTAATTTGATTTTTGAAAAAAAGAGTCTTTTAAAAAGTATAGGGTCACTAAACCTATCTTTGTTGCTTTTTGTTGCTTTTGTCGCTTCTTAACAAATGCAGTTTTGCGAAGAAAACCTAGTATGGAAGCGTGTTATTATATAAGCGTAACGAAACACATATCGTGGCACTTTTAACAAACAAACACAATTCCTTACCACAATTACAAGCCACGGGTAAATTAATTAATATAATTAACCTAACCATACTAAAAAGGCAATAAAGGAAGTACATTTTTTGGATAATAACGACACATCGGTTGCTTCGTTTTCTTTTTCTTTTTTATTTATTTTATTTCAACTTAACCTCTTCATAAGTAGCCGAGTAGCTAAAAATCCCGTCGAATCTAAGTGCAGTAAAGTCCATAATAATGTTAACTAATCAATTTGAGCACACACCCACTAGACTGCGACCACTACCTCCCTAACTTTTCCTCTTTCGTCTTTCTTTCCGTCACCGTATTATATGAATAGAGGATATCGCTCGAGTTATTGGTCGCATTAAGAAAACAAACCTAATTTTCTAAGACACATGCCATCGTCTCAGAGATTCTTTCAAAATTGCAAAGATTTTAAGTAATTTGAAATGTGTCTGTAAACAGAGCCAAAGCATCTCTGCACCAAATTTTTTGATGGACTAAATTGCCTTTTCTGTCAGAACAAGGTCCATTTATCATTAAAAATGCGGCATTCTTTAACCATTTTCGCCCACTTCTTGGTCTAATAGAAGACGAAGACAAAGACTTTAACATATTTCACATTTATGTAGCTGCACATCTGAGCCGATAATGAACGCAAATACGATTCATTTGCGACACTGCTACTTGAAAATTTATACGTTACAGGTCAGACGCAGCGACAACACGGGCCGTCGGTTGCCCTTACCTGATCTAAATATTGTGTTTTATTCTGCTATTTTTGAAAATAAATTCGGACACATGAAGACTTCGTAGTAAGCCCATATTACGCTACATTACGGTTGCTCATACCTGTTGTAAAGCGTATTTTAATAATTAAGCGAAATTGTACCGAACAAGAATCTTATGGTTCCATAAATGCTTTTACAAGAGTTTATTTCACGACGTATCTCTCAATTATTAAAATTTATTAGGAGTAACAGTTTAGTAAACCACTGGGTGCCACAGTAGCAATGAAATCAAAGAAAAGTCATTAAACTCTGGAATTGACATAACAATAATGAAAACCGCATGCACACGCACCTCTGCACGTTCATCTACACTTCATGGCAAATAGTGCAATTTTTATTATTATTTCTCATGTGTATGTTTTACTCTTCACTTTCGTTATTTGCCCCTTTGCTCGCTCTATCGGCAAGACAACGAAATATGCTTAACTCGATGTTGCCTTTGCATCGGAAGCTTCCAGTTTGAGCAATTCTTCTCCAAACGAATAAAACTGTTAAATTTCTCAAAGCTTGTGAGCAAACATTTGATCTTGAAACCGAATCGTTATACAATGCATAACTTTTTTAATAAATTTCAACTACAATTGCGTTATCTCCATAATTCTCAAAATTGTAGAGTCTTTCAGCAAGAAGTCTTATCTTAAATCAATCACACAATGAAGCTATTGTTTCATTGGCCGTGTGTGTGGTAAGTAGTATACCATTACTTATAGGCTAAGAAGGCCATTAAACATCATTCGGGCAACTCGTTCGTTTAGTATGTAGAAATATTATCAGTTGTCTGATTACATCCCCAGCGCGAAAAACGCACAGTCTACCCGCAAGGCAAATTATCGCGTATTGTAGTTAACGAGGTCTTTAGACAATCCCCTCTATGTCTCTAGAGTCCGAGATGCGACTAATTCGCTTATTTAGATATTCAGAGATAAAGGAAAAAAATTAAAAATTGTCTCAAAATTCATAATTGTACGGATGGACTTTGAAAACTTCCTAGTTCATACTTGTCAAATTTGACAGCTCAAAAATGCCGGAAAGTTTAGACTGAACTGACCTTTTATTGAAATACTCTCATGTAGCGTATATAGATATACAAGCTCTGATGATTTTCTCTGAAGACGAAGTATAAACCGCTTCTGTAAAAATGTCAAAACTTAATTCGAGAACTTGGAATCTTCTGTTCATATCCAGGCTAATTAATGCATATAGAATGTATATAGGAATTTAAACGATAACAATTTTTATTTCTTTTCGTTTTTATTTCATATGCGATTAACTTGAAGAATTTTGAAGAAATATATCGATTTCATCCACAACCGGCGATTGTAATTCGGAGTAAGCTGAAAGACGGCTTCTTGGTTGTCATCAGTGAAAGTTTAAAACATGTAAAAATTCATTATCATTACTTTTAAGTTTTGTTGTACGATTTTAAATAAATTCGTTTTGGATTTGTGTGTGAATATTTTCTTAATTATTTTCATATTTATAGTTTGTCTTAATCAAAAAAGAAAAGAAAAACCAAAGAGAAGCAAAAAGCAATTGCTTAGACGACTTACCCGATGTTTACTTATGCACACATGCATAGTAGTTTGTGTCGACATATGTCGTTGTTACACAAAAAACAAAACAGAAGAAAGTCTTTAATAAGTCTAATGCCCATTGCGGAAAGCATTGCTCAATAGTCTAATCTATAAAAGCTTTAATATAAATAAAAAAAAATAAATAAAAAAACCAAAAACTTCTTTCTTGTGCAACATAAACTTACGCCATAAACTTTTTCTCACGGAATTGTTTTCTGCCTTGGATATTGGGCCAGAGTAGTTTGGTAATTTAAGGGCGATATTCAATAATATCGGAAGGCCAAAACTAACGATTCGAGACCCAGGCAGCACAAAGGCATGCGGTTATAACAAATAAATTTTAGCTTGATAATAAAGTGAAGTGAAGCATGAAGCGACCAAGGTTAACTTAAACCTTAACGTATCAACATCAGGACTTCGGCTAATTCATATAACTCGTTATCTGATAAGACAACTTAATGCTCAGGACAATCCACAACTGGCGCACTTGCATAAATTATGATCAAAATATTTCAAAATTTCCGCAAACCTGATAACATAATGGCAAATACCAAAAACTTCAACTTGGATGGTTACGCCAATCAATTGTGCAGTAAAGAAGATCGTAGGCTTTATATACCAGCTGCCCAGCTGCGTTTCATCCCAACTTGAAGCAAAAACTAAGGATTGTTTTACTTTTAATTAATTAACTAAGTGCTCCGTTATTACCATACATGGTCCATCTTCGCTGCGTTATAAAACGAGTGCGAACAGTGGAAAACATCCCGGCAGCAAATATTAATCTCCATTTCCTTAGAGTAGAATATTTAAAAAAAAAATCCTAATTAGTGGGGTCAAAGAGTTTTACTAGAAAAACAGTGAGAAAGTTAAATTCGGTCGGGACAGAATCTTTTATACCCTTCACCGTTATCTTAGAAAAGACAAAAAAAATAACTCAATTTTCATGCCCTATAATATGGAATGGGCGCAGCTGATTTTTTCCATTTTCAAAATAAAAGTTTTTGTCGTGTAGGCATGTGGGTGTTGTAGGCGTGTGGCTATATGGCAAATAGTCGAAAACGTGGTCCGATTTAAACTATTTTTCAATAGCGTTCGTCCTTGGGCCAAATATCATCAAAACATCTTGAAAAATGCGAGTTATAGGTTGGCGCACAGACCGGCAGACAAGCTTAGACAGATTCAGAATTATTTTCGGCGCTAGTCCGCACAAACTTAATATCCCTGCGCTACAAGTACTATAATCAGTGCCTATTGCTACATAATGCTTTTCTCATTAGAAGCTTCACGAAATAGTTTCATTCCTTTCCACATTTTTTTTTACATTTGTGTATTACACCGCCATAATACTTTTCACCGGTCTTGATCGGGAAGCGTTATAGATGCAAAGCGTTAAGTGAGGCTTTACGTAATCTAGTCCAATTCTCAGTAGGATTCATCCTTGAGCCAAGATATATTATTGCACTAAATGTCATCAGAATATGTCAAAAATTCGACAAAAATCGATTCAGGAAGCGATGTTGCATCGATTTGTTTACTAGCGTGTGGGTCTGCCTTAAGTGGCGATAGAGGTAGAGGTAGATTCGGTAGGTCCGCGATTTCGCACCTATACTCTCACATAATTAACTATTCATAATAACAAATAATTGAGCTGAACCACAATTTCCACAGACTACAGATTACATGTTTGCAGATTTTCATTTCAACAGTGCCATGATGATGTTCGGGGATTTGCTGGTCATACAAGGAAAGAAAGCTGAAGTACTTTTAATGCTTACTTTTACGTTTTAATTAAAAGCCAAGCATTATTTAGGACACTTTTCTGCAAAAAGCATTTTCACATTAAATGGCTTTGTCATTCGACAAATATACGTTAGATATTTCATAAAGTGTGCATGTATGCGTGCGCTCTTCACCATCAAAGTTTATGGCAATTGAAATAGAAGAGGTTGGTTTCTTTCAACTTAACATGAGACATAAACATGTCACAAGAGTACACCAAAACAATAGAGATTCAAAAGAGTTACACATGGAGTTTAGAACAAACTCCATCCCTGATGCTTGAATGCGTTCATACACCTAATCATTAGCGAATATGTCGGCAATCGTTATACATTCAGATAGAGGATAAAGAAAATTCACTCCAAAGTTTTTGCGTCTTTCTCGAATCTATTCACCAAGCGATTGAGAATGCATTTACTAGAATTGTGCATTAGTATGACCCTTCTTCGGGATAGTTAAATACATATCCGTTGACCGCTATATTATCTCTAAATATACACATATACGCACACAACAGTCACTATTCATGTCGTACTTACTTACACCAATTTTGAAGTTTTGTTTTATTTTATAGGTTAACTTAAAAAGTATATAGATGGGGATGTAGAATGAGTTTAGTATTTCTGTTTTATTCCATTTAAATTTTTTTATTCTTCTTTGTACCAAAAAACACAATAAATTTGTGCAGTAAATGAACGAAGAGCTAAGCAGCAGCTTTCACTTCAATTAAACCAAACGAAACCAACAAGCACTGTCCGCAACGGCTTAACGCGCTCAGCAACTGCAAGAGACTGGTAAAATATAATAACTGGTACGATCCAAGAGTGGCTTACTGCTGGAGTACTGCTGCACGAACAAATTCAAAGTGAACACGCATATCTCACTTTTACTCTCAACATTTGCAGAACTTGTTTTAGCCATACGAGCAGATACTAAATTTAACGTATAGGCCTACCAAAAACCAGAGAGAAATTACGTTCGGCTTGATTCGAATTCTTCGACGCCATCTCCTTTCACATACATATATATTTTCCTTTCTTTTGATAGATGTTGCGTACGAAACCTATAAATTTGTGATTGTGATATATTTCATTAAATATGTTCGTTCGTTCCACTTTGGTCGAATGGTAGGATTTTTGCGCCGGTGTCTATGAGACATGAGATGTGATCCATGTGTGCTATATCCAACGGCTGTAGACTAACGCTTTATTACACCATCCGATTTAGATGGTGATTCCGAATCTTCGGGTTCTTGCATCTAAGCATGTATGTCCGTCTGTCGGTCCACTTTTCTCGTCCACATGTTTCTTGTAATTTTAGATGAACTTTTTGAACGTACTATCAACTTTCAGATCGACATCTGTAATGAATTGTAAACTGCCTACTTGCAAATTAGACCCATGCACGTCAACTAGGAATACATATGCGCGGCCGTCGACATTTTGCCAACATATGATATGATAAACAGGCGGACGGAGATACGGGCGTATCATGGTTAAATGCATTTTATTTTACTTTTTGGTGTTCCAACTGGAAGAGTAAACGTAAACGTAGTAAAATACCCTCTTCGAGGAAGATTATAAAAATTCTCACATCCGGATTATCCGGCAAAGCTTGATACGCCTCTGCCTTAAGACAATTTAATTAACTAATTTAATTTTAGAAAGGTATATATATATATCAGCATATGCAGGTGTATTTATTGCATGGATGTATTCATTGTCATATACAATTTTCATACATGCACGAGTAAATATTAAATTAAGTAAGAGAGACTTCTTAATTTCGACATATTAGTGAGCTGTTCGATCCTTTCTGAACAAATATGCATTACATGCAATAAAATTCTATTCTCGATACCTATTAACTGATACTTATTTAAAGAATTTATTGAAGGTGTAGTGGTTTGACAATAGTGTATATCGCTTTTTTATTATGCAGTCTCCAAAATGCACTTTGCTTCCCATCTCTTTCTTCTTTTCTTTAAAAAGTCAACGAAATATCTCTCTAAAAGAGAAGAAGAAAGAAGCAAAATCAAGGAAGTAAGCGAAGCATGGCCAAAGAGATCGGACGATCCAAACTACAATAAGTAAGGAAATTATATTCGGTCGCATCGTCGTTATTCTTCGTATATCGTTGCTTAATTTAGAATTATCCCACTCCACGTCCTTTTACTTGATAACCCCCTTTTGATTATACGGCTCAGAAAAAACGAATTCTCTACGATGAGAGTCCACCATACGCACTTTAGAATGAACACATTTTTACACACATTATATATGGAAATAATTTTCAGCATTCGAACTTTTTTTTGTTTTCTGAGTATTAAGTAAAAAATATCAATAAAGTGAAAAAAAATGAAATGACCTCGAACTACATTACACTCTGGCCATGTCCTTGGACCGATTTGTTTCATTTTTTATAATAACTTGCGAGCGAGAATTGCCAATTTTTTGCCGAACTTGAAGCCGATAGATGAAGATTTTATGCCACTAAAGGTGTGTTTATCGCAGGTACCACACAGACAAACAGACGGATGGACAGGCAGGCATGCTTAAGTCGCTTTAGAATTTCAAATTGATTAAGAGTATATATATATACTTTCTGGGATTACTGGAGCTTCTTTGTGGATGTTGCAAACGCCGTTGAAAAAATGAATATATCCATCATCCTTCGGCGATGGGTGTAAAAAGAAGCACAAAAAAACGGAACAAATTGTCAAACGAATAAACCAACTGAATCATATAAGTCAAGTAAACACATGGCAATCGAATAAAGTCGCCCATTAATCCCACAGTTCTCCAGTAATTTTTGTCATAGTGAGCCCAAAACTACAAATGATGTTCAGGTAAAGGGACATTTTTCATTAAAAAGGCCTCATATTGGCAAGCTTCCAAAGCGCCACCTGACATGATCCAAATTTAGTAAACTCAATGTACTTATTAATGATTTTATTATTTTTGATCTGTTTTCCTCATAAAAAAAGTTTACCTTTCATGTGAATTTCTTTACATGATTCCATCTAAAAACCAAACTTGTGTGATCCCAATTCGAAATTTAATGCCAAATTGCTATTATGGATCAATTTTCACCACAAAATTTTGAAAATTGGATATTTTAGCCATACAAAGGTTGGCTCTTCATGATCTTATCTTCATTTTCTTATATCAGTTGAGATGCAAAAAATGGACGTAATTGATCCAAATTCAGTTAAGGTAGTATCTATGTCAAGTAACTATTATAGGCCAGTTTTCTTTATGAGATATTGAAAAGGGGTTCAAAAATTGCTACATGCGGTCCAAATTTTTCACATCCACTTGGAATGCCGAATTATTATTTGTCGTCGTGTTGTGTCGAAGGCTTCCCAAAATAAAGCATTATAGTGGAAGCGGTCGAAAAAGTAGTCCGATCCAATTCATTTTCAACACGGTTTGTCCTTGGGCCAAAGCACTTTGATGTAAGAAAACTTCGTCAAGATATTGACCCACAGTTTGAATAATGCATCGTGCATGAGCAGAACTTAGGAGGACTGACTGGATCAATTCAGAAAACCATTCCGAGTCGACTGATTTACTGCAAGACGTGTTTATCTTAAGTCCTTCTGTTACTGTCCCTGTTAAATATTTTGAAACTGAAATAATTGTTAATATAATTTTTAAATATTTTGAATCGATTATTGATATATATACATATTATGATTCACGAATTTATTATATGTTCTTTTCCACGTTTTTTTGTCCCATGTACATTATATGATGCATCATTTATTGTTATTAAATCCCTTTTTCGTTAACTGCTGTGTGTATCGAAAATTAAGTTTAGAAAAATGATTCATTCACCAAAAGCACACAGAATACGCACGATACACAAAAATCGCGGCACAATTGAACTACGTATTTCTTACAGGCTTTGCCGGAACTATATACGACATCGGTTATGCACAACGTGTCCATACACCACCTATGGATTCTTTCCGTACAGGATACAAGATTAACAGACTAAGAAAATAGGTTCGCAACAAAACGAATCTCTAGTGACGTAAATAAATGCCAACACACTAGCAGCATTACGGTAAAATGTAATCACAACTATATTAGACCTAATACAAAATCCTGCCGCTAACACAAAATACGAGTCTCTTATATACGCGCTTATCAAATGTTTTCCTTTTTCGAAAGAGCGAAGGTAGATAAAAGGAAAGACACACAGGCGGACATGCTCTAATCAATTCAGAATTTGATGCTGATCAAGAATACATATATACTTTGTGGGGTATCTGAATAAACCGCTAACAAACAATACAAAAATAGTCTATAGACTCAGTCATATTTCCATGGTCTAGTAAACAAACAAAACAAAAAAGCATCGGCATAAATTTGGGCCCGATTATTTTCTATAAAAATAAATCTAGTAGAAATATAATATCCGAGCTCTGACAAATATTAGTAAATGCCAGGTTAAACCTAATTACCCTATCCATTCATATATTTATTCATTTCATTTATTCATGTTCACGTACATTGAATTGTCCTTACGCTTAAGCTTTTAACAGGGAACTCGTGCCTACGCATCAATACATATCACTTTATCAGATCTGAAAAATTCCAAACATCTGAGAATAAGCGTATACGTTACAAAAAAAGAACAAAACAGTTGTATTAAAATTGTCATCCTTTCAGCTAAAACTAACTAACTAAGCTAACTTGTAAAATGAAAGAAATTAAGAGATTTCATCTGAAAAACATACATTTATTAATAAAAAGTAAAGAAACATTAGATACTAATACTGCTATTAACGGACTTGAATGTGTTTTTGCCGACGGCTTTGAATCTTAACAGAGTTGAATGTGTTTTGTTTGTTATTTAACAGAGTTGAATGTGTTTAGTCTGTTCAGTTTGGACATTTAACAGAGTTGAATGGAATTACCATTTAAGTTGTTAAGTTGGGCTTTTAACCATTTCTTTATTATAAGCGACTCTGTGCTTTGCCTTTCAACAGGGAATTTAGCGAGGACTTTGTTTAAAAATTATGATGGTTTAATTTTAAGCCAACTTGTAAAATTATTATTAATATAGATTTAGTCAGAGAATAAATTCTTTTCTCTTAAAGCGCTCTCACCAAAAAAAAAAACTCTACTGCACTTGAGATTTGAAAATGCAATGAAAATGCAAAATTTATTGAAATCAAATTTATTCAAAAATGATTTCATTTCTTTGCTACAAAGTTTGTTTATTTTAGGCTAGTATATCAGCAAGATGACGACCTGTAAAATATGATATGTAAAATATTCTCAGATGATATATGAGAATAATATTTCCAATATTTACATTCAAACAAGTAGTCACTCATTTAGTTACCCTCTCAAGTTACCAAATTCAAAAACCTCTATGGAGACTGTCTGGCTGTCGAAACTTTCTTACTAAATTGTCTGACGCTTTACCTAGCCATAATTACGTTCTTCTTCGGCCCATAACCTTTCATTTATGTCGGGTAGAATTAGATGGAAAAGCAAGCCGGCAGTTACTCCATCGGAAGAGATGTAAATGAAATTAAATTAATTTTCCATTGTGAAAAATTGTAATTTGTTTAATTATGTACAGGTGTGTGCATCTGATTGATTGAAAAGTTTATTTCAACAATAGGATTCTGCAATACACTTTTTAGATTATTATTATCATATTTTTATTTATAAAGTAAATCTATGAATTAATGCATCAGTGTTATAAATGTAAATTGCTGCTATTTACAAAAATGTTGTAATCTAACCCAAAGTAAGTTGGTAGTTCGGTTATTTATAACTGGGCACAGATAATAATAAAGAAAATATCGAACATATTACAGCACTCGTTTCTCACGCTAAAATAACATTAATTTATGTTTTCACTTTATAAGTTTATTCTTAAGCTAATTAAAAAATTTCAAGCTCAGTTGTTAATATTTACAGTACACGCTTTATAATAATTGCTTGCGTTTAGGGCTAAGTTTTTCTAATAATCTCAATCCAAACTAAACATATTCTTCTCATTATTATAAAATATTAGATTAGTATTTGGAGAAAAAAAAAAATTTTTTTTTGAAACCTAGCCAGAAAATCCAAGTTGAGGTTAGGTTAATAGGTTGTAATTGAACAGAAAAAGAATAAAAAATAAAATCACAAGATATATGAGAGAGGTAAAACGTAATAATAAAAGCAGCAGTTAGTTTTAGTTCAGAGTTCCTCGACAACCCTGAGCACCGCATAAACACGGAATCTTCTGATCCTCTAAAGGGAACTTGTAATCGTAGGTAATTTCTTCATTTACTCCAATTGGTTGCTTCGAATAGATAACAATCTTCTTCTCCGACTCAATCGTGATCACCTTAGCATAACAATTTGGCTGTAATTATAAAAACAAAATAATGAAACTGAAATGAGTTCATCATCTTTGAATTGCTCAAGACATACGTTACAACTGTGATTTATGAAGCGAGCCAAATTGCCACATTTGGTCGCGTCAATAATTGTCTCCATATCAATGCGAAACAAATATGAGCTTCCGATTCCAATCGCTTCATATTTGTTTTCGCGCAAATCGGCCACAATAGGACGTATCATCTGACCAACATATTCGATAACCATTTCATCGGCGGCGATCGGTTCCATTGCAAACAAGCCCCAATCGTGAATAGCTGATTTAGCAAACTTTAACTGCTTCTTGCGAAATTTAAGCTGATTGAATTTAAGTAATTCCGATTCTCCAATCGAGCCGAAAGCGGTAAGAAGTCGCCTTTGATTAGAACGAGCCTCTCTTGAAATGCCCTGCATTTTCGACACTTGCTTGTTAAGCAAGCTGAAGATCTGATCATCACCGCGATCGACATTCATGGCGTTCTCCACAGTAGCCTTTGCATGATGATACTTATGCTTAGCTTTTTCGCGTACATCTAGTTTGTAGTAACCCTCGGTACGAGCGCATCCAGTTTTATGCCGCTTAAGATCATCATCTTTTTTACGCTTTTTGTTCGGTGGCGGTACAAAAGTTCTGTCGGTTACACAGTGATCTACCCAATGGGTATTGTTTAACCAGAAACTAAAAAATAGAACGTTAATTAAGGAGAGAGAGAGAGAATTAAACGAGAGTACGAGTACTTATATTCACTATATGTACCTGATTTAGGTTTGTGCTTTTGTTATTAAAATGAATTCTAAATGAAATTTTTAAGAATTGCATACACACGTAATATGCATAAAACAAATATGGAAAGAAGAAGGGGCTTTTGAACAAATCCATCCATTTTAAATCCATCTATTTTAACGTTAATTTGCTGATTGCTAGGAGACAGTAGTGTATGACAATTTGCATCGTTGAATTTCGCACACAGTACATGCAGTTTACATACTTTAATTTACAAAAAAAGTCCATTTTCATTTCAAGACCTTGCAACAAATTTGTGAGAGATTCCGACAATTATTTTGTCGATTTACCTAAGCATTTATATCTTAATTTATGACGGAAATGTCAAATAAAATCGGAAACAAGGAAGAAAACTCGACGGAAAACTTTTAGTGCGTTTGAGAACGAATTGGCAAACCGAATTGCCATTGGTGGTGCATGGTGCATGGAAACTGTCCAAGGTACGTACCTATATGTATCTTCTTGCAAATGAATTTCATAACTTCTACGTATGTATTGTATGTCCTCGGCGTCAACGCCTTTTGTAAGAAATTCGTAGAGTACCATCATTTCGTCGGTTGCGTCACGAGATTTGAACATATCACGAGGTATGAAGTTAGCCAATGCTTTCGCATAAGATTCGAAGGCAGCTTTCGTTATCTTATCTTTTGCATAGGATCGCTTTTCAATTATTTTTTGATTGCTATCGCTTTTCTTTTTCGCTCTTGCTGAATCTTTTCGCGGCCTTCCAGGGCCTGGCTTACTTGCAGTCGTTGTGATTGTTTGCTGCACGGGTGCTTGAGTTTGTATAATATTTTCCTCTGATGCTGATGCTGATGCTTTGGTCGCAGGCGGAGTCGCATATCCACCATGATCGTGAGCTAAATACTGTTGCTTTTTGCGAGCAGTTTCTCCATTGGGCAAAATCGAATTTATTATTGGTTGCTTAGATATGTCTGCTTGTGGAGGTAAAGAATAACAATGTTCAAGCGCCACCTGACTAGCTTGACTCGCCTGACTGGAATCACCATCCGAAGATGTGGGCGACATTTTTGCATTCTCAGTTTTCTGCTCAGCCTGTGAAGAGTTATTTAACGGCAGACTTAGTGATGACTTAACCGTGGTATCAAAGTTATCATACAAAATTGCTTTATTGTTTATATCGTGTAGTTCAGATTTTGTATTTGATTTTATTTGAGCTCCGCTCTGTACATTTAAACCTAATTCTTGATTGTTAACGTCGGCATTCGACGCCGTCACGTTTGTTTTAGATTCACGGAGAGTTAAGGGCACATCAGCTGCATTTACTTCATTGTCTTGATGAGGAATTCTGTTATGTGGTGAAGGTGTAGTTTTGACATCTTTTTTGTTCTTGGGGAATTCATTTTTAATAGCGGTCGCATTCTTTTCCCTTTTGCCCTTCCCGGTTAATTTTTCCTTCTTAACGCTGCTGCTTATGTCCGCACTCAAAGACACAGCCGGCGCTGGTAGCGCTTTTGTAAATTCGGGTGTTTGTGGCGCACTAATGCTCGAAAAGCTACGGATAATCGTAACGGAAGATTTCGTATTAGCTGGAGAATTGGTCAAGACATCAGTCGCAGGCACAGATTTCTGCTCTTGAGCTTCGCGCATTTTTCGTTGTTGTTCCTCCATAAACTCACGTTCAATTTGGGCCATATATTCCGTATTACGCCTACGTCTCTCCTGATATTCACGTTCTTCTTCGGAGTCGCTATATATTCGATCATACTCAAATATGGATTTTTTGGATTGCACGCTTTTATCATCGAGTTGTTTTTCGTTAACGAATCCGATCGAACCGTCCCCAGCAGGCGGCACTTCAGCTTTTATTTCGACGGATTTCGTCGATAATATTTCGTTTCTCGACGTATCGGCAGTTTTATGATTTGATTCATTTTGATCGTCTTCTCCCAAGCTGAGACTACCATCCTTACTAATATCTTCCAGATCAGAAACAATTGAAGACAAAATTTTCATTTTTGGGTCATCTTTTTCTTTTTTTGAATTTATGGACCCCATTCTGGCCCTTTCGTCGTCCGAATCAGAATATATATTTTCCTTATTGACTGCAACTTCTCTGTTAACTTTTGAAGCGCCCATTTTTTCATCCTCGCTGTCTGAGTAAAGATCTCGCGCGAAGACTTGTTGACGTTGCTTATGACGGCCTCTTTCTTTGTGCCGTTTCTGTTTTCCACCTTCATCGGACACAGAACTTAGTTCATCTGCACTGGCACTGCGATCGCCATCATCGGAGCTTCCATCTAAATCTTCTTCGTCATCATCATCGTCATTTTCGCTTGAAGATGAGGATGAAAAGAAACTTGATGAGCTACCCTTTCGTTTAGTGCGCGATGATAACGGCTTGGCTTTCACATTATTTAAATGATCTTTGGATTCCTTCGCTGAACTTCTATCAATTTGAGATAATGCAATAGAACTTAAATTCGAATCTTCCTTTTCCGAATCAGAAGCTTGCACCATTTCTTCCTGATCACTAAGTCGTTTCTCAGTCTCTGCCTTTTCTGATTTAGGACTAGGTTGCTTACGAATACGACGAAAGGACGGTAATTTAGGAATGGATGCTCGTAATCCCAGCGCTGGAAAGGGAGAATTAAAGTCGGACATATCTCGATGGCTATTGATTAATTGATTTATATCAGGCGGTTTATCAATTCGTGTCGTCATGGTGGTCATGGGAGCGGCAGTTGTACTTAAAACGACAGGCATTATAGTGCTTTTCTCTGAAGTTTTATCATTTTCTCTTTTCGCTTTATGACGACTTTTTTGTAGTTGTTCATCCCACCAGGCTTCAAAACTTTTGTAGGCTGTGTTTTCAATCATCTTTTTATTAAAGTCGCGTTTCAGTATTTGTTTTAGCTCGTCGCTTACGCGTTTGACAACCTCTTCTATATATCGTTTATAAGGATCTTGATGTGAAATATCCGTCGCTTCGCTGAAGTAATTTTTATATCCATCGGAACGATAAAATTTATAAGCATCGGCGTACGGATCATGGCACGCGGTAGTAGTTCCAAATCCAGGTAAAGCACCTCCGATTCCCGGAAGGTAGGATGATTGCATGTATGCTGGATTTGGAAAGTATTGGGCAGCACCAGACAAATCCTGACCCGAATACATTGTATATGCGCCGGGATAATAGTAAGGATTGGCAATGGCATGCGGAGGATAAACGTACGTTGCAGTCATTTCTGGTAATTCTGAATTTGTCGCCTTTAAATGCTCTTTTTCGGGCTCTGCTTGATTACCATCGTGTGAGGAGAGACTTGAAAGCGACATCCGATCTTCATCTTTTCGCAAATGACCGGGTAATATTGGACTATAGGATTCTTTCTTGAGCAAAATTTCATCATCGCTTGATGATATATCGCTAGTGCCTTGATGACCGGTGACTAGCCGCTCCTTTGCACACTTCTCATCACTTTTATTTTTTTGAAATATTTTGCAAACTGAAGAATCCGAATTTACTTCTCCATCCTCTTCTTCAAGAATCTTTCGACTCGCCTTCTCTGTATCGGAATCACTACTATCCATTTGCAAAAACGGCGGAGCGTTACCAAATGACTTGCCTTTAAACATTAGAGCTATGCGAGTATCAAGATCTACATTGCCCAAATCAGTATTTGACTCGATTTTATCTATCGATTTCGAAGACTTCTTATGCAAAGAACTCGAATCGTTGCTATGCTTTATCTCGTTAGGATTAAATTGCACCTCATCAACCTTAGGATAGCTTTCCGGCAACGGCGGCTCCGGTTCATCCCAATTTGGGGTACCGTCAGGGGGAGGTGGCGGCAATGGCGGCTGCGTATCCGACCAGCTGGGTGCGCTTGGCCACATATGCGAAGACGTGTGACTATCACCTGAATACGCATACGAATGGTAACCGTAGGAATTAGACATTGAAGAACCTCCTATGTGGGATATTATCGATGTTGCACCCGTCTGGGTGGAATAATATGCAGCGTTTTTAGAGGATGACGCTGCAGAGCTATTCGTGGTCGGCACACCATACTCACGTGAGTAACGTGAAGTACTATACTTATCGCTTCCACGATTTTTCGAAAAACGTTCCCGATCATTTGATCGTTCTCTCTCTCTTTCACGATAATCACGTTCGCGATCTCGCCTATCGCGTGAACGGTCATATTCATGAACTCTCTCGCGTCTCCCACTATTACTACGTTCTCTGCTATGTTCTCTGGATCGATCACGCTTACGATGATAATGATGGTGCTTAGAGCGATCTTTTTCGAGACGTAAAGTTGACGCACATCTTTCTCGACTGCGCTCTCTGTCATCACGTTTTTCAACGGCACGATATGATCGTTCACTGTCTTGAAAGCGATGATCTCGATGGGAATAACGATCATAATCACGTTCTGAGCGGTAGGAATAATGAGAAGGTACAGCAGAACTAAAGCTATCCTGTGACACATAATCATGATGATACTCTGACGTAATATTTTGCTTGCTCGTAATGCTAGCGCTATGTGAAGGAAGAACATAGCTATCTCCGGACGTTGAAATTGTTGCCGAAGATGCAATTGGTGCTCTCAACTTTCCGGATGTTAAATTTTCTACTGTTTGTTTGCAAATGCTTCCAAATGAATCCTGAAATACACTTAATATCTAAAACAGAGCAGTAATATTAAATGGCAACCGTATTACAAATATTTTATAAAAGCACGAAACATTCCTACCTTCCCCATAACCGATTTTTGATTATATTTTTCAATACACAAACGAGCAGCCTTCACGTTCTCAAATACAATTCGTGCTACTCCCAAATGTTTGTTAGTGGAAGGATGGTGATAAATTGCAAGGTCATCATAGCTCCCGCACTTTTCCAACATTCTCGCTAAAAACTGCTTATCAATGTTATCATTCAAATTCGTTATGGTTATTTCTATGGCTGGTGGCGTCCCCACATAATTTTGATCAATTCTCAAACTATAAGGTAAGCATTTATTTCATTTGTGAAAATTTTACCAAAAAACCACTTTACCGCGGAACTGTAAGAACCATTGGTTCTAAAGGCCGGGCTCGAATCCGAATTACCGGATTTCGAGGGTCTCGTGGCATCACAGGCGGATAGGTCGGATCATTTATTACAATGCCATCAAACCTATATAATTTAGTAGCTCCCTTAATTAGTGCTGGATCTGATATCAATTTAAAGTTGCGTGGTTGTTTCTGTTGGGTCCCACTTCCCGTGTGATCACTGGGAGCGACACCTCCATTAGCCGGATTTATAGGCGGCATGCGGTAATGGCTGTCCATGAGATCTGGCATAAATAGCTCACCCCGCTTTAAGGAACGTTTCAACTCCCTTTTGCTTGTTTTCCAGGAATAATGCTTTCGGGAGTCCCCTTGTTCATACAATTCTCTGCTATGGTGCCAGAGACAGTCTCGCGCGCTGCTCTAGTCAGTTGGCAATAAGGCAGAGGTAGAGCGCTGGCTGCGCTGCTCCCCAAATCTGGCTTTGCTTACTTTTAACTATCGGTGGTTAAAAATTAAATTGCAATTTTCTTCAATGCTCCTTTCTGACGTTCCATTATAAATTCATATTAATTGCGGTTGTTTTCTCTGCATTTTGGGTTTTCTAAAAATTCTATTAAAATAATTGTAATACTCCCCTCACTTTTATGCCAAATTATTTTATGACACCAAGGCAGGAAAAAAATATTATAGAATCTTTTATGCAGGATTGCCAATTCAAATAATTTCTCTGACTTTTAGGGACAAACGGATTCTTTAATCTATATTCACCACACAATATGTAAATATTTCTGATAACGTTTAGCATTTAGCATGTAGTATATAAATTATAATAAAAGGGACGAAACGGTCACAAAAGGCCTGCTTTTAAACATACAAAAATTTTTTTAAAAAATCTATATATAGATTCCTTTTTCAAATATAAACTTTTTATTCATATAGTTATTAAATAATTGACGAAATAATTATTAGCGGCTTTTTCAAAAGTAGACGTAGTTATTCTTCGAATCCCATAAATAACCTATACATTCAAATCTGTGCCGCCAATCAATGTAGTGTAAAGCGAATGCTATAGTAGTTTCTGAAAAATTACTAGGCGCAAAGAATTTGAATGCTGGCAATGAGGAAAGAAAAAAATTAAATGAATTAATTGCAAACCATATTTTTGTTTGTTGTGTTTTTTAATACAGTTTTTATTGAGCTATGCATAGTTTAATGTTTTTTTAATTTAATTATTTCCTGAACTGAGTTATATGCTGAAGCAGACTTTTCCATCTATACATTGATCATTTCGTTTTAAATAATATCAGTTAGTTGAGAATAGAAGTTTTTACGTTTTTACAGGCACATGATTTTTAGACCTAAATTGCATTTACAAATATATATTTTTAGATAAAATAGAACATAGCAAATTAAACAATTATTTATTTATAATTTTCACTTAAAATATAGAATAGGGATTAGCAGACAGAAAATGAAGAGGATCGGAAAGAAAACCAGACATTTAAATTATCTGAAGTTTCCTAATCTTTTCCACCTCACATAAGTTGAAGTAGCACAATTATTTCCGACGCCCCTAATTTTGGTAGGGTTCAGGTATGATTGGGCATTTCAACACAGTAACGGCTGTCAATTATTTATCCGTATCTTTTTACATAAAGAAAGTTTGGCAACACTGTTTGTTGGAACTAAAAATTTTTGCGGTTGCATCACAGGTTTCGTGAATAAAAGGAATCTAGAAAATTAAATATTGGTAGATATTTATTAAAAAATAGACGAATGAGTAAATGAAACTTTTCTTATTTTAAATTTCCTTCCGTTATAGGAAATGCCCCTCAGAAGCTTTTTGAAAGATTTTTTAGCACTGCCTGTTGTTAAAGCAGATGACGAGGAGTTAGTTGATCCAAAAGTCACTTTGAGGGTACTTTGCAATAAACTTCGTTCGTGTTATTACGCACATTAATTTATTTAATACATTTAAGGAACAATGCAACAACAAGGCACATATTAGCGCGTTATACAACAAATATCAGGAGTGTAATGATCGCGTTAACAGCCGAAGCAAGACGTTGGAGAATTGTATGGAAGAACTTATGGACTATGTTAGCGAACTCGATCACTGCGTTGCCCATACCTTGTTTTCTAAATTAAAGTAAAGATAGCATTATCGGGTAAAAAGTGTCATAGTTAAAATTTTTATGGTTACCTAGCCTGTGAAGAATAAAGTTTATTATCTGCTATAAAATGCTACCCGGTTAAAAGTTTTGAAATAAATCCCATTAGAAATTTTAAGTGTTGTTAAAATCAAACGTAAAGATCAAGTATTGAAATATGATTCAAACTAAAGCATATAAATATCATATATATATGTAATGGAATGTAATTTAGATCCAGTGGCTTAAAGACAATTACACATGATTGGCAATGTCGTAATGGACAATCGTTTCAATTGATATGAAAGTGAAAACCTTGTAACGGTAAGATTTATTCAGATACCGAACAGACAGCCCGCTTTGTTGTAGGCGTTCTTTTCGTTTATTCATTGCCCGGAGCGCTTATTGGAACTTTTCATCAGGAAGAGTTCAGAAAACAGGCAATAGTTTCGTCTGTAGTAAATTGTGATTTTCTACGTCCGTTTTTATTTACAATTCGTAGGAGATGGATACTTGTCCAAATTATTTATATGAATTTTTACTCATAACAATTGCTTCGGTCTTATCCGTTTGCATATTACTCTTGAATCCACTTAAATTTATATTTTTTAATTTGAAATTTTCTGATTTGTCGATCTCTACTTCTAAATGCGCTCCCAAATATTAACATCGAAACTTATTTCTCAAATCAGCCATGCAGGTCTGCATTTCCAGCCGACGGGCCTGCGACCCTAGAAGCCATCCATTTAGCGAATACTCAGTTATAGAAGAAATTCCTGGTCGTGCCAGACATTAAAACCATCTTATGCGCTTCGCAACCGTTTCCCTCAAATAAAATTCTCCCTTATATATTAGAAATCAGATCTTTTGCATGAATTATGTCCAAAATACAAACCACAAACAGGGCACTTGCATGAATTATGATCAAAATACAATCCAGCATCAAAATAAAATCCTAACACCTGTTTGCACTTTATACAGAATTAATTGTACTTTAACAGAAATGAAGGCAACTCTATCTCAAAAGTCTACCCCAACCAAACAATAAAATTCTCAGACGGCACCAAATTTTTTATTATTCTCAATTGGCACCAAATTCAGGCAAAACTGTGACCGTATGAATAATTTTGTTCTTATGCAAGTTGACGTCCTTATTGATTATAAAACATCATTCAGCCTCAGATTTAGGTGGAAAATTAAGAACCATCAATATGGCGTCGAATTCTATAATCACGCTATCTTAAGAGGCAATTTTCAATAAAAACACAGTCAAGAGTTGAAGACGACACATATTAATTTTTCTTAACTTAAATTTTCATTCACTAAAAAACCGATTGAAATGTTTATCAAATTTGTTTATTAAGAATTACATAAAAGTACAAATTAATTTTGGCGTAAATTTCTTGATGCAGAAAATTACACGATTTATTGCAAGTATCTTTAAATGATGAAATGTTTGAAATCGTCTTACTGGAAAGTCAATAAGTAAAGTATTTTCAAGAAAATTTACTAAACAGTTCCAGGTATTAATTAAAAAATGCTTAATCCAATAATACCACCATCTGTAAGCTTCATATAAAAACGAATGTACTACAAGCAACAGTGTTTAACAATCACTTTACATATATATATATATATATATATATATATATATATATATATATTTGCAACACCGAGATGGACTTGAGATATCCATCAAAAGATAACCGTTTTTTGACGCGTCCTAATAACTGGCACGCTTTATTTCTATACAGTCTGCAACTGGAAAAAAAACTCGTATCAACACATTCGGAAAGGGCACTGAATCTTTAGTTGACTCTCTTTGCATTAGGCATTTTGTTGTAGTTTCTTATACGAAGCACTACGTGCTTCGAGAACAGAACATTGCTACGAAACTCGAACATCGAAGACGTTTATAAGGAAAAATCAGTGTCTCGATCATAAATTAAATGGATTTTACTTTTAGAAATGTTCTTATAATTTGCTCTCATTTTTGTACCCTGCACCACCTGTGGAACTAAATTGTTGCGTATAAATTGATAAAAACCGTGGTGCAACTAAATTGTTGTGTTTATAAATTCATAGTGGTGTTTCGGTTTTCGAAAAAACAGCACAACCTTAATTAATATACGCCGAATACCGCTAACCAAATAAGCGAACAAAAAAATTTTTCGATATTTTGAAAAGTCTCAACTGCTTTTGTTTTATTTTGTATTCACCTAAATATATATGCACATATAAAGCAACACCTTGGTGGTGGCTTGTGCGGACGATTGTAATACTTCGAAGGAATTGAAGTAAACCCATCTTTTATTATACTGAACGAATCCGAACAATTTTTGGAATCGATTTAAGCTTGTCTGTCCACGTTTTTGGTGCTCACCCTGCAGGTGAGAATTCTCAAGATATTTTGGTGGTATTTGGTATATTCATGTGTTTTGGCCTAAGGACGAACGTTTTTTTTTTACCTTTTCCACCTTATTTTGATGAGTCGTTACAAGAATAGTATAGGCCATTTCTAGAATTTCAGGGCAAAAATCGCTTAGCATTAGCGTTTCGGCATTCTAAATTGGTGTGGAAATTTTGGATCGGATTGGGGCAATTTTTTAGACTTTTGTCATGTAACTGCTCCGAGGGAAGGTAAATATTTTTACGGCTTAAAGAAACGCCTAAGTTTGTAAAATTCATGATGAAAATTCGTTCATAATAATAACTTGGCCAAAAAAATTGGGTCTTACCGAATTTGAACCACGTAGTTCCATAATTTTTCGGGTATTCTATAATCAAAAATAAGGCTTTATATGCTAAAGAACTAATCGTTACCACTTTATGATGAAAATATGTCAATCATAGGAAATTTGGATCACACAGATCTATTTTTTAGATCGAAGCATATATAGGAGTTCTTATGGCGAGAAAGCAACTGGAAAATAATAAAACGGCGTTGACATTCGGGTATCTTCCAATATGAAGGCAAGCAAGAGGAAGATCAGCAGAATATATGAGCAGCAAGAGGAAGACCAGGCTTGCATGGGAATAAATGCACAATTTTTCATGTATTACTAATTAAGCGAAGCGGAGTAAGGTATCTAATGACCATAGCAGTCTTTCTTGTTTTGAAATTTATTATTTGGTGATAAAGCATTCGTATCGAGACTCTCTAGAACAACTTTTAAATGGTAACGATTTAGTTATATAATGGTTTAAAAGCGTTCGACTCAAAGATTTAATTTGCTAATTATTTTTCGTTTTTTTTTATAACGGATAGGTATATATACCTGTGTGTGTGTGTGTGTGTGTGTGCTTATAAATACATATGTACATGTCGTGTATGCTTAAATTAGAAACGAAAGAAGAAAATGTTACGCACTCAGCTCTTGCTTTTACCAGTCTTTTGTCTGTTGAGTCTCACAGGCTCTCTGCGAGTTTTCTTTTCGATTTAGTAGCTCATTGTAAATTGTAATTGCAAGTGGAGCGTTTTCTTTGTTGTTCGGATTTTTAGTCATTTTTCATATTTTTCATTTCTTTTACGTCGATTAAGTGTTCATTGTCTTTAAAATGCTTTAAGAAAAAATAAATAAATAAATGAGTGAATGCTTATTAAGATTATATAGCTTAAAAGTCAAATGTCAAATCTTGCTGGGAAATGAAGTGGGATGAAATTTGAATGCTGCAGCATATATTGCCACTTGTCGTCACTTGTGCATAAAGCAGACGACAGTGTGCCAAAAAATCATTGCATTTATGACTTGACATTGACCTCATTACGTGGAAGTTTAAGAATTAATTAAACGCAAAATATCATATAAATCTTTTAGAAAATTAAAAAAAAAAAAACGACCACACTCGCTATCCAATAAGCAAAAAAATAAATAAAAAGAAAAGACTAGTAAACATTTGTTACAATAAGGTAATACCTGTTTAAATATATGCACACATATTATAATAAAAAAAATGAATCCAGTTTAAGTTCGTTCGAGTACATTGAACATAGTGATCTCGTTATTTAGTATTTTCTGCGTTAAACTCACAATGCTATGTTTAATTGAATTAGACGGAATTCACAAAAACCGTTTCAAAACGCTTATGCTCACATTACTGACCTTGTGTATGCTTGCAGGTAAATAAGAAAACATATAGAATACATTTTTTTTACACTCTCTACAGAAGAATGACGATGTATGCGTTCGATGATTTCGTTGAAGTAAAGATAAACCAATAAAAATAACATAGCCACGGTCACGGCTCGTCATTAAGTACCCTATACTGGTATTCCTACATATTTACACTTTTCAAAATAAGGCATTGTACGGGAAATGGTCGAAAAAGTGCTCCGGTCCGAATCACTTTCAATAGAGTTCGTCTCTTGGACCAAAATACATGGACGTGTAACAAATTTCTTCAAAATATCTTTAAAATCTTTGGCTTGTGGGTTGAGCACAAGAAAACAAGACGGACGGAGCGACAGATAAGCTTAGATCGATCCAGAAATTCATTCTAAATTGATCGGTATAATAAAAAGTTCCTCTATCTGAAGTTCTTTGCGGCATTGCATATATACATCCGTATAAACTTCATAAGTCCATGCAACCTTGTGCAGTGGTTTCACAACAACAGTTGCCGATTGACTTTGTAAAGGACCTACCGAGACAGTTAACTCATCCTTACTGGAGGATACCATAGTTGCACATTGCACATTTGAATGCAACAGTTATATCTTCTTCTAGTATTAAAATGAATTTAGAGCGCGGTAAAGTTGCTTCTCCTCATTTAAAAACAAGTCTAATATCAAAGTGTACCAAGTTTTAATTGACATTCAACAAATATAAATAAACACAAATATATATATATATGTTCGGTAAACAGGAAACGAGGAAAGACGGATCAGTTCTCGCGCGGAATATCGCTCAAAAGAGACGATTCAAATCAGTCTTTGTCTTCGTTATTCGCTCTTATTTGTTTTGTCTATTTTGAAGCCGTCAGCCGGTTGGGACAACGAGTTGTCGTGCACTTTTCTTCCAAAGTAATTATAGCATATATTTATTTAAATTTTCCAGGACGTGGTAATGCAATCAAATGCTTTAAATGTGCGGTGACAATAGAGAAAATTTACTCGTACGCAAAAAACGCGACAAGTTTTACACCATTATGCTCCAAGTTTGATGAATCGGATGAATACATTGTAGAGTGTCCCTATTCCACTATGTGTTTGAAAACGATATCAACTTTATATTTGCAAAACAATCAGCAACAAATGACAGCTACCCGGGGCTGCGCTCCACAAAAAGATACTAAGCAAGTATGTTTTGAATTTCTTGTATTATTAAATCTATATGGAATAATTTGCTATTAACGTTTTAGGTCTTTAACAATGGTCAGTGGCATCAGGAGCATTCCGTCCAGGAAGTTTATGAAGAAGGGTGTGGCCAATTCACCGACAATAAAATATCGGGCCCTGTAAAAACTCATTGTTATTGTCGCGGAAATTTGTGCAACGCTTCCAATCATCTACACCGTGTTTCATTCTTCATTATGACTGCTTCACTGATACGCTTTTTTGTTGAATTTTCTGAATTTAAAAAAACCTACCAACGAACGTTTGCATTGAAGTTAAAATTAAGCTAAGTCGATATGATGTTGCGGGTTCACGAGAAGTGCTTTTGAAATGTTTTTTTTTTTTTTTTATTTAGTGCAAATTGTGATAAATAAACTTTGAAAGTGAAAAATATTAGATATCGATTCGTACTTCAAAAAGCGTTTACCCAAGAGAACAGAATACAGTTAGCTTTAATTACGCAAGATAGAGGCGTTTAACACAATATTTGATTAATTTGTGATAATTACACCGAATTGAATCAAAAGTCGGCATACTCGCCTTACCGACATCTGAAAATGGTAAATGTTATCTGAAGAAAATAAATGAAGTATAACAAAATTCTCACACGGCTATAGAAGGTAATTGAAAAAGAAAAAGCAGTGTAGAGTAAGTGAACATATTGCAAGGAATGTCATTCAGTCTTCAATAACATTTGATGTATGTTAAAATATTCAAGCATGTTAGAAGAGATGTTCCCTTTTAATAAGTAAAATCCGCTTGAGTGGCCAGGCAAGTGGGTAGGCAAGAGCAACTCAATGGTCGTGGGCTCAAATCTCAACTGCGGTAGAGTTTTTAATGAAAACTGAAAGCCTTAGATGCCAGTGCTTTAAGACTTTAGCCTTAGAATTTATTCTCTGGCTAAATGAATAATAATAATAATAATAATAATAAGTAAAATATTTATCGTTTTATTGCCGGCGATGCTAATAATAAGGTTACGAGCTGAGTAAACCTTTGCCTACTTTAGGGCGAACGAATGCGATACACTACACTACTACACTACTTCCAAATGCATCTTTTCGTTTTTGTTACGAGATGACTACGAGCACGAGTTGCCTGTTTTAAGGCGAGCAAGTGCAATGCTTCCTTTCGTATGTGCTAACTCATAAGGATTCGGAATGCTGGTAGTAAACTCATGGGATAGATATTTTTTTGATTAGTAATCTTGTGGATGTGGCCGGGTATAAACTTCCCACGTTAAGGCGCACTGGAGACTTATCATTGGCTTAATTTTTATTTGACAACGCGGACATGTAAACTTACTTATTACTTATGTTAATAGTTTCAAACAAAATATACAAAATAGATTAGAATAGAGTTCTGTATATTTTACTGTAATATATTTATATGATAAAATGTGATATATTTATATGATAAAATGTTTTGAGTAAAAAACAAGAGAGAAATCCATTATGATCGTTATGTCTGGATGATTTAAAAAAAAGACTACAAAAAAAAACTGTAAAGAGTGTGCAATAAGACGGATCCGAATTAGTTATCTTTTTATGCAGATTAGTAAAAAAAAGAAGAAAATAATGTGCGGCATGCTCTTTTTCCATATGTTTTCTTATTTGCTTTGCGGTGTCTTCTTATGTGACATGTTTTGAGTTCTTTGAGAGAAAAAATTTACTTTGATGTATGTTCTGATGAGACTTGTTTTGCCTTTTTCGAGATTAAGCATGTTTCTTTGAGAGTAAAATTTGCTTTAGTGCGTATTCTTGTGTGACTCGTTTTGATTTTTTTGAGAGTAAAATTTACTTTGATGTGTGTTCTTATGAGATTTGTTTCGAATTTTTTTAATCTCGATTGAGAATGTTTTTTTGAGTGTAAAATTTGCTTTAGTGCGGTTCTTATTAGACTCGTTTTGATTTTTTTGAGAGTACGAAGGTTTTTTGTGAGCGTAAAATTTTCTTTGATGTGTGTTCTTATGAGACTTGTTTCGACTTTTTCGAGACTAAGAATGTTCCTTGAGAGCAAAATTTGCTTTACTGTGTGTTCTTATTAGACTCGTTTTGATTTTATTGAGATTACGAATGTTTTTTTGAGAGTACAATTTACTTTGGTGAGTGTTCCTATGAGATTCGTTTTGATTTTTTTGAGATTAAGAATGGTTTTTTGAGAGTAAAATTTACTTTGATGTGTTTTCTAATGCGACTTGCTTTGAATTTTTACACCGTTCGCCGAAGGATGAGGGGTATACTCATTTTGTCAAAGCGTTTGCAACGCGCAGAAGGAAGCATCAGAGACTCCATAAGGTATACATATTCTAGATCAGCGTCAAATTCTAAATGAATTGAACATGAAGCATTTCATGTCGCCCCGTCGCGCAGAAAGAGGCTTCAATAATGCCATAAGGTATACAAATTTGTTACCAAATTTAAAATTTAGAAATTTAGAACCTAGACGTGTCCGTTCTTTCGCTTGTCCATCTTTCTTTATGCGCAACTATGTAGTGTTTGTGGTAAACATCCTCCATCTTAGCAAAATGAAGATATCGCCTACAGGTTTGCACGCCCACAACTTCCACAACGTTCACTTTATTTTGAAAAAATAAAACTTTACGATAAAAACTTTACTTCGAAAATAGAAAAAATCAGCCAAACCCACCCAATATTGTAGCGCATGAAAATTTAGTCCTATTCCTTGTTCTGTCTCCTTTAGGATAACGTTGATGGGTATAAAAGATTCGGTCACGACCGAATATACAATTCGTACTTGTTTGAGATTAAAAATGTGTTTTTGAGAGTAAAATTTACATTGCTGCGTGTTTTCTTTTCCCGTTTTTGACTTTTTTTTCCTCGTATCCTCGTATGTGTTTTAGTTTTTGCGAGAGCGTTTGCGAAATTGCGGATAAATAAATAAATTGAATGAATTTTTGCTGCAAAAAATCGATGAATTCGATAGATTTCATTAATAAAAATATTAATTAGTTCTTTGCGTTCCAGCAAAAATAAAGGGAATGCAGAAGAAACAACAAAATGCCCATAATTTAAAGTATTATAAATAAACAAAGTAAATTGTGCGTTAACACAATCAACGAAGAGTTGAAGTTGAAAGGGAAACGTGTGAAAAGTAAAAAGAAAATTGCGCGATCAAAGTTATATAGGTTAAGTATTAAGAAAACATTATTGAAAATCGAAAAGAATTTTAGTGAACTAATTGTGAGCACTTATACATAGCACTTTTACATAGCAACAGTAGCAAATAATTAATGATAATAATAATCATATGAACATCTTTTGCACTGCTTTTGAAAGTCTTATAAAAAAGAACAACACGGTGATGCGGTGAAAGTATTGTTTGATATACAAATGTAACAATTCCGGTTCCGTTTAGCAAGTCAATATTGACGCTTTATCAAAGAACAAAGAACAGCAGTCATATGCACATACGTATACATCAGGCAGAACGGCTTACGAAATATTTCAAAAACTGGCAAGTTCTTTTATTTATTGCCAGCACGCTTTTAGAGCGAAAGTGAAGGTGGAGCATTTCGTTGGTTTGTTGTTTCGTGCGCTTCGCATCGATTAAAAACAGCTGTAAAATTGAATATTATTAGGAAGAACGAAAATTAATTTCACAAAGTATTCGAAAGCCGATATGATTACGAAACTGCAGATATGCGTTAAGTTCGCAGAATAAGTGGACAAAACTAGTTGGATAAAAATGTTTTTTATTTTTTTTGTTTTCTCCCCCATGCATATGTACACATATATAAAAAATAAGAAGTGATGCAGTTGGGGATATGTGTTCGTATACGTTTTCGGTTGTGTGTTCTGTGTGTGGATGTGTGTGCATGTGCTTGTTGACATAACAATTATTTGCACCGACCTTATACGCCAATAAATTGAATGGAAGATGTGCGAGCTGTTAAGAGAAAAAATCTGGATTTACAGTGGAATATAAATAAATTATTTTGCATTATCGTAATAAAAATGGAAAAAAAGTGTTATTTCAAATCAGGAAACAATAAAAAACAAACTGTGTTTACATTTTCGCTTCCCTTTAATAAAATTGAAGATAAATTAAACTCATTAAAAAGAAATCGATTGTTGACATATGATGTATTTGGAAATTCGATGAGACGCCCTTTCAAAATCAGTGATATAGCCCTTTGCGTCCTCTGCTTCTTTCATATTATGGCCAGTAAGTCGATGATATATGCAAAAAAATACATTATAAAAAAATTAATTGCATAAACTCGAATAATAATTTAATGCGAAGGATATTTTGAAGATCTTTGCTTTGAAAACAGGATTATTTGCCAAATCGTAAACATACATAAATGTGCCTGAATGTTTACATTCAGAACACAATTAAAAAGGTAAAGGTTTAAAAAGATTACAATAAATTTTAAATAAACTTAATTACAACACACAAGTCACTCACGGTTAGGACTTACGCCTCTTCGTCTGTAGTGTAAGAATATCGCTTGTTCATGCATTTAGGAAAGAAACGAACGAAAAAAAGAAGAAATTTGTGCATACAGCCAGGGACATATGAACAAATTATACCTGTTTCCTATAGAAAATCCCAGTTTTCGTAGGAGCAATTATTAGGAAGATGATTCAAAAAATTGTCCTATCCGATTTCAATTTTGCACATCACTTTATTATCCCTAAATACTGCTACTTATCAGTTTTCGTCGAATTATAACGAAAATTGCAACAGTTTTTATACAACTAGTTTTCCCAAGAATAATTTGTTATGTAAAAAGTGATCGCAGATATGATTCGATCCAAACCACTCCACTGGGTTCATGAGCCGCAGCACACGAGTGATGGAATGCGCTACGATATCTAAAACCTGCATTGTCGTGATAGGGAGTATGCAAACCAATAAAAAGGCTGAGTATCCTTGATGTCTCCATTTGGGGGCACGTCAGCTGAGCATTCGGCGCATTAAAGTAAGTTTCAACCAACGCCTATATGTCAAAAGTGAGGATTTCGTGCGTTTTTAGTACGAACGAATTCGAGTTTATAAAGCATAACACGCTCAGCAAATGTTTGCGGTTATAATCCGAAATGTGCTATCCTCCCCATCGTAGGGAGCAGCCGCTGCTCCCCTCGATTAAAGCAGGTTTCAATAGATGACTTATTATTTGTTCTGACCGTGCTTCAAATCCTATGAACAGGAATAGCCTTAAAAGACGAGATGCTTGAAAATTGCCTGAAAGAAAGGGGAAAAGTTGTAACTGACAATGGACAGTTGGACTATACATTGCCACAATTTCTCTGACTAAAGCTTGAAAAAAGTTGCAAAAACAAACTCTCAAAACTTATTCGTAAATTATTATGCAATAACTAGTAAAGACAGTTACGAAAAAAGATAAAAATTTGTTTTTTTTTTTTTTAAATATAATATAAGTTAATCTATGGAATGAAAGTAAAAATTTAACAATTCTTGAAAAATGGAAATAAACTATTAATTTAGTGAGAAGTATGTTTTCTTTGTGTGTGTGCGTGACTTGACTTGACTGCACGTACGTACACATTAACTTTTAAATGTAGAGAATATTCTCTGAAACGCGAAGCCTTGTAGTCTCCTTAATTCACTTATAATATAAATTAAAGTGTCAGGTGTTTCTTGTTGATTGTTTCCGTTGTTTTTCAAAATTAGTACAAGCGATTATTTAACCTATCATGCAAACTAATACACATGAGAAAGCACATTACATTACGATTTCTAGTTTACTTGATAACTAAGGGAAGAAACAAATTAGTTTTCGCTTCAGATGTAACTTAAAAACAACTAACTCTAAAACTCTATAATGGGACGCGGATCATCATTAATTACCTTACACAGTTGCGTTTAATACAATAAATTCATATAACGATCTGTCAAAGTAAGACTTTAAGGGGGGAATATTCGAAAAAGTGGTCCGATTTTTAATATTTATCTCATTTTTTTGTAGGTATTGCATACATCCATACAAACTTATTATACCATTGCATCACAGGCAGGGTATATAATAATTATTAAAATTATTATTTAATAAGCATAATTATTTGATATATCGATTCGCAATTAATTAGCCCTTTAATTGTTTAATTATTTTTCAACAAAGACGACTATATTCGCCATAAGCACAACACAGTTTCTATACCGTAACTTTAACTAATTACAACACAATATCAAACGTTTACTCATTATTAATAAACAAAATTTATTTAATTGATAGAAAACTTACCCTACGAAGGTAAATTTACGCCATTATGGATACGAAAACAAAAATAATATGAGATCATTAGGCGAAATGACATTTCAATACCCTATAACATTGGGCGGCTGTCGTCGATTTTTTTGCACCGGAATTATTGCATCATACGTAGAATATGCGTGGGCGCTATATTTTGTCTTTGTCCATTCCTTTTTTTTTATTTTTTGAAATAGAGACCTTTCGAGTTTATGTTGTGCTCTGACTGGGTCCTATGATCGATTCACCTAAAACGTGTGTCTTCTAATTGATTTTGTACATGCCATGGATTTATAATAGGAATGTAATTCTTTTCATTTCCATAAATAGAAATTTGGCCCAAACATTTATCACGGTCCTTCGGGCGAAAATAATCTTAATTAATGAAAGTCTCTGATATTTGACGGAATAGTTTTTATCAAGGGTTCATCCAGTGTCGAATACTAGCTTCTCTCTTGCCTAAAAGTACATTTAAAGCTTATGATATATTAATTTTAGCGACTTTAATTCGATTTGTTATTAAAACAATTAAATGAAACTAAAATTGTATTTTTATTAATTTAAGTAAATGAAAACAAAGACTCGTCCTTTCTGTCCACACCAACGTTTGCGTGATATCCAGTTTGTATTTAATTCGTTTTACTGTTAAATTATATTCCCTATTGCGTCATAAATGCATGCCATTGCAGGCATGCAGGATATAAGTAAAGATGAAATGGAACGGATACCCTCCCTTTGTTCATTGCCTATTTAAATATGCATTTCCGTGCTGATGTGGAGATATATTCTCGCTAGAGAAATTTGCAAAAAATTTTCTTCTTTAAAACGCGACGCGATATAAGGTATTCTTCAAATAACAAAACACAATGAGTAAGATTCCAAAAATTTGGAAAAATGAATTGACAACAAGTAAAAAACACTATTGCATACCCTTCCAAATTTCTTCAAAATATCTTAAAAACAGCAGCCAGTAGGTCGAGCAGAATAGGCAACACGGACAGACAGACAACCGGGAAAATAAGTTTAAATCGATTCAAAAAGTGGTTCTGCATCGATTGATTGGAATTGATCAATATAATAAAAATACATTTTTTTTTTCTATATTTTTGCGACTCTTCTGATCTTCCAGTTTCTTCCTAAATCCAATCGCTCAACCCCTGAAGAACTATTATTATGTAAGGGCGGTATTGTTGACTGGCCGATTACTGTTGACTCAGCGATGTCTTAATTTTATCTCTTGCCAGCCATACGCCAATATGACGCACTTGATGCCATACTGCAAACTATTAAAATTGAATTGTATAAGCATTTATCCCAAAGCATCCATTAACTAGAATAGAAAGCGTCTACAATCTTCTTGAATACTCAAAACTCGTAGCAATGCCGTGAATAAAACATCACACAAGCAAACATACACAAATGTGTACAAAATCTAATAGATTCACTGAAGACTGGAAGATAAAAGAAAATACTGTTGGATTAACTAGTGATATTCACTAGTTTTTTTTTTTTCATTACATTTAGAATTACAAAAATAAAAGCTTATATGCTTAAAGGGGAGAGAAGTGAGGGGGGAGTTTGTTGGAATGAACTTATTCGACTGAGCCGTCATTTTTTAAATATAATTACGAAACCAATTCATTTATACAAATCTTTTCACGTACATTCGTACAAATACTGAGATACGTGGATTCATTTTTCAATAATTTTTTTTAAAAACAAGATGACGGCATAACAGTTCTCGCTCAGAAAATGACACCTTCTTGGCTCTACTCCAGTAGGTGGGGATTTTCTATGCAAAAGTATAATCCAAAACGAGTAAGAATATTATAGTCGAACAAGGCCGACAATTAGATAACCTGCACCACTTCGCTTAATACATTTTCGTGATAATATAATATTTTTATGAAAGCCAGCATATCGGCGGACTGTCAAAACTTCGCCTGACGTAATCCAAATTTAGCAAATCCAATTTATTTGTCAAATAATTTAGTATTTCTTCAGCTTCATTAAACTTTGTCGCCGCATGGAGGCTTACTTTCGTTGAGAGCCTCTGCATATGATAGGCTCTGAAAAATAGACCGATGAGATCCAACGTCCCTATGGTTAATTTTTTTTACTACATTGTTTTATACTGTGAACAAATTTTCATCCGGAAACTAAAAACTGAAACTTTTTCCAAGGAGGTTGCTGTTCTCGAGAATCCTTATATAGAACAGGGTCCAATTCAAATATAATCCGTGCAATATTTAAGCCAAAGCATTACGATCGAAAAATTTTCGATATCAGATTTTACAAACTCGACCGTTTCGCAATATATTGATATATACGTTGTGAAAACCATTATGTACGGTGGGATTGAAAACCTGGACTGACCTGGTTCAAATTCGGTTAGGTTGATTTTTATGTCAAATCACCATTATGGATCAATTTTCGTCAAGAAATATTGAAAATTATAACTTTTTACTACGTAAAAATTCAGTTCGCCTAGGAAAGATTATATGAAAGGGGGTTAAAAATCTGACCCAAATTTTTCATTAACAATTTAAAATGCCAAAGTACTATTACTCAGCGATTTTTTGTCGAGAAATTTTGAAAATTTTAATTTTTTTCGTATAATTTCTTATCTAAATCAGGCCTCATATGAAAGGTGATGGAAAAAGTGGCCCGATCTAGTCCACTTTCAGTAGATTTAGCTTTTGGAATAAAGTATATCCGTGACGGACGGACAAGCGGTATAATAAAATATAAGCCTATCTCAAGTCCTTCTGGGTGTTGTATACATCCACACAAACTTAATCCACTTCGTGCCACATGTAAGGTATAAAAATTCTTCGATATATTCAAAATCGATTCAAAGTGAACTATAAAATCTGTTTATCCTTCATCATAAGTTACATGTTACCAAGAAATTGCCCACTTCAGAATTGAAAAGACTGGGAAGGCTACCGGCTCGAAGAACATAAGTCGCGGAAAAAAACCGATTTAGTTTTTAGTCGTTTTACGAAGTGACTTCGCTTGAACACTCAGTTTTCTTGAGCTGCAAGAGCAATTCGACTCTTCGTAATACCTTTTAGATATAGTTCTTAAATAATTAAGGGATCATTTAAGATGATAAAAATATGATGAGGAAAAAATATTCATAAGTTAATATTATCTTTCTTAAGTTTTCTTAGCTTTCTCGATTTGATTTGGTACTTAGAGTTTCATAGAATCATTGCGAAAGGTTTATTTGTCATGATGTATGTGTAATGGGTGAGCAATAGATTCAGACAAATGAATCCATTAAAATTGAACTTAAATTGTAAACGAAGAAATTTGGAAATGCAAGAAGACCTATAAAGTAGTCAAGCGGTTATGCGAATGTCGGCCTCCTGTTCAATCTGTCGCGCCTTCCGATTATAAGCGTAATGACAATAAGCGAGAGAGAGAGAGAGAGATGTAGGATTTAACATTTCTGTATAGGATTTCTGATGCGCATTTTGCCCGTTTCGATCACGAAATATATAATAAAAATGAGAATAATGAGTACCGGTTGTAGTAATATTTCGTACATATACATTTGTATGGCTACATACGAAAAAAAAAAAAAAGAAAAAAAAGGAAAAGCAATGTGTATGCTATTAAATCGCTTGTTGATAACATTCCGTATCGACTCTTGATTTACATACAACTGGGAAAGTATTTACATCAAGAATTGATTCACAAACCAAATCAGTCAAACATTTGTCGGTTAATTTTTTGCAGTTAACAAGTGATTTGAAACGAAATGTTGAATTTTGTTTTTATCATCGTCGTGTTGTCGATATCGACATCTTCGGTGTTGACGAGCAAGTTGCCAGAAGATGCCAGTATAGTGTCTTTATCGCGCGAAAATAAATCAACTTTTAATGTCAACATGAATGGAAATGAATTTGATAGCCTTAAGCAACACAATGACTATTACGATGATCTGAAGCGACCGATTCGTCTTATATTCAAGCACTTGAATTTGTTGTTTAAAAATATTAAGAAAGTAGTGAACACAACTGTACCAAAAGTGTCTGCAGAAATTGAGAGTCTTTTAGAAAAATTGCAGGATATTAATGCAGAATTATTAGAGACATTTGGTAATAAAGTAATGAACTTGAGCAAAACACTATTCATTAAAGTGTTGGAGAATACGGTAGAGAAGTTAGAGCGTATACAAAGAGGACTTCTTGACATAGCGAGCAATACTGATCAATACTTGGAATGGGCGATAACGCAGCTTAATCAAACATTAATTAATAATACTGCCGAGTTTGATTGGTGGATTGTACAGATCAAGCAGAAAGTGCGATCCGTTAATAAAACAACTTTATATAAAGACGGATGCCGGACTTTTGATGAATTTATCGCAAATAGTGCAAAAGAATTACAAAAGTGCTGTCAACTTAATTTGAAATCAAACTCTTTGCTATGCAAAACGACTAGTGAGCTATTTACGCAAGCCCTTCATGTCGCTATGAATATTGTCGATCAAATGCAAGCCTGCATAGAAGATAGATCCTCATATTTTGAATATCTAATACCTTGCATAAGTTTATTGCATAATGATATTAGCGCCTTGGTTTCACAAGTTGAGCAAATAAGTCAACAAATGAATGGAATTATACCGATAAAGATTATATATACAAACGATTGTATTGCTCTTGTATTGATTGACATGAACGAACCATCATAGAGACGAAGTAGAAACAAATTCATTTTGAATCATTTATATGCACACAAAATATATAATAAAAATAAATAAAAATATTATGTTTCCTTTGTGTAGAATTTTTCGTTATCTAACCAATAATTTGTCGCAAGGTTTTTGGTTTTATTCCCTTGATCACTTGTGGTACAAGCGTATATGAAGCTTCCGCGGAAGGACATGAGATAGCCCTATCCTCCCCCATCGCTTTCTGAAATTCCAATCTGAACTTGTCTATCCGTCCGTCCCTTTGCCCGTCTATCTGTTCGCCTGTCCGTCGTGTTTTTCTGCATTCAATCTGCAGGACGCAATTTTTGGACATATTTAAAGGAATTAGGTGCGCTCGCGTGTTTTGGCCCAATGACAAATGCTGACAAAAAAAAGTGGTTTGGTTTCAACTCCTTCCCACATAATGCCTTCTCTTGAGAAATCGTTATGTGAACGCCTGTATTAGACGAAGTGGCGTAGGGCATTTAATGGTCGGCCATGGTCGATTGTAGTATTTTTAAACTATTTTCTTCAACTTTTTGCTTGAATTTCACTTAATAGAAAATTTGCATCTCTCTATTCCACTGCTTAAAGAGACAGCGAACGTTACAACCTACAATATATTTGAACTAATCAGTAAAATTGTCTACAAGTGATTAGAAAAGCCGGAGCTGAATTATATTATATATCTGATATTCAGTACCTGGACTTGGCAATGAACTGGCCAAACTCTGATGCTCTGTGCTTGGACCTTAGCTGGAAACTTAGATTAACTCTGATACTCAGCATTATTTTATAAAGCTTGGTGATGTAGGGACTTTAAATGAACACTCGCAGGTTTCCGCCGTGCTTCTATTTAACTGTGTGCACTCTATTCGCTTTACTCTAAATGTCCAGCGTGTGGTAATTGAAATGCGCAGAAATAATAAGTAGCTTATATAGATAGACCTAAGATCTATATAGTTCTGGAGACAAAGTTAGACAGAAAATCACTCGATTAATTAATACTGTTAAGTAACTAAACACTCAATTATTAGTAAGATCTTCTTGATCTTGCCTTAGAATCAAAATTTTCTCATTCACATGATTTTGCAGACAAAACAACAGCGCATTTGCAAAACGACTTCGAAGTCCCTAAATTTTTATGTGCAAGTGATCGAGCATCTTCATGGGATGCCAAGACATAAGGAAACCATATATCAATATTCCAGTTATGCTAAAAGTGCTTTAAACAGCAAATTCTAGTCGAAATACCGACATTTAGTCTGCCAAGCAATCTCTTCAATCAAAACCTCTGGACTCTTATTCGTTGAGCCTTGAAACTTATGTTTGGATTCTAGATAGTTGTCTTGAAAATCACCGAGACTGTACATTGATGCCGAGCTTTATTTTCTTTGTTTTTGGTATGCAAAGTAAGACGTTGACGTTTTAGAGGAGAGCTCTTATCCAAGTCTATACGGATTTTGATTAAAAGACGTTCTACACATTGTCTCCCATTGATTAAATGCTCGAAATTAGTTTAAATACAAAAAAAAAAAAAAAAGTAGTAAGGTAGTTACATTCGGTGGGGCCAAAATTTCGCATACCCACCACTATTAAAATCTTCATCGCTTTTGTCAGTCCAAATCCTTTCATTTGATACCCATATTGAAGTTATTTTTAAGGAAACATTTATTCACTATGTCGTCGCGTCTATCATAATTATTTTAGAATTAACACACTTAGCTTAGCTCGCATTCTACTCTCCAAGTCCTTGTAAGTGATTTGCATATCGGTGGTATCATTAAGAAAAAGTTGATCCAACAGGTCATGGTACCTATCGTAATAATAATAATAATAATCGATGTTTGTTTGAATAATGTAGTGAAAAAAAGAAACTTTATTCAGTTGTAAGTTTGTGCGGGCATGACCGATTTTTGTGAAATTTCAACCTCCAACATGTTATGTGTAATTTCTGATTGACGAGCAAGTGAAACCCATAAATTTTTGTTCAGAAAAACGCAATTGTGTTCAGTTTACGTTCCACTGTCGGCTTTTACTCTGCCCAATCTGTCCCATTTTCAATGTTAACCTGCGTGCAAAAGCTTCCAATGTTTTAAATCAAATTTGAAGCTGACATCTTCATTTTTGTGACCAGGGGAGTATCAACAACACTCCCCACAGGCACAGAAATTATGCTTAATGAATTGAGAATCTCGTGTTGACCAAGAGTCCATATACCTTATAGGGCCTCTGAAGCTTCTTTTTAGGTGTGTTACATACACTATGAACAACCAATAAAATGAGTATACCCTCACCTGCGAAGAAAAACAACAAAAATTGTTCATCTATCTAAATTCCTTATCTTAGTAATCGAATCGTTTTGTCAAAGCGAATATATCTTTTATTAGTCTCTTTAAATGAATTATCAAAGTATTAAACATCGTTGTTCTGTTATTTGTCTTCCCATAACAGAATATCGAAGCATTTCTTTAAATTCGTTGACATATATTTATAAGGAAAGTCGATAGGTATGCACTTGTTTTCATTGCCGGCCGTTGAGATGTAGTCTCGATTTAGGGGGATTTTAAGTTTTAATTCCACGCTCTTATGGTCTTCACTGAAGTCACTTCTTCGCTTGCGATTGCTATTGACACGGCCTCTTTTTATTTTAATATCAAAGTATTGCTGCAGTTCGTCTAGCTTAAGGAAAAGTTTTGAAAAATCTCTCTCAGGGTTGCGTAAAAATTGGCATCGTATCCGGTAATCACGGGAAGCTAAACAATTGTAAAGGCGCTGCATGCGAAATTCCAACTGTTTCATTACGTGTCTAGATGTTGTTTCGCTGATTGTGTAAACGTCATAAGCTGTATTTAAATCGGTCGCGGTTTTGCATTTGAAAATGACGGCCGACCACTGCTGCAAGAAATCCATATAGAAATTGTAGCACAAGTTAGTCGCTTTGAAGCGACGGTAACTATCTGTTAGTATATCCGCATATTCGATAAATATATCACGGACCGATCTTAACACATGAGCAATATACTCCAAGAAATCGTCAATAATTTCCGAGAATATTGTATGAAAAGATTGCATTTCGATAAGATATTCATCGATGAGAGCCTTCACTTCAGCTGATATTGAAGGCTGACTAGATCGTATTTCTTCCCATTTTCTTAAATAGGATTCACTTTCATTTTTTGTGATCTCAAAGCATGACTCGATTTTGTCAGCAAGTAAGGCCGCTTGTTCGGAGGAATATTGAAAAAATGAAGAAAGATCTGTCAGTTTGTGGTGGCGATTTTCAATTTCAATCACATCGGTCGTATTCACAGCCACGTTAAGCAATATTGAAGTGGAAAGATTTTTTTGCAAATTCTCTAGGAAGCTGCGCAACAATGCTTGAAATCCTCTCTTTACACGATCGGTATCTTCCAGCCCTATATAATATCGTTCCGAAGTGTGCTTATATTGAGAGTAACCGCATGCTGTGTGATTACGATTGAGATGAGAGAAATAGAAAACAAATAATAATAAGAAGAATATCAGCTTTTTTGAATATGTTTTCATGCTTTAGGTTATTATCTCTACTCGAAGCACGACGCACTATAACTGATGTAAAAATAATCGAGAGGAGAACGAAAGAAGACGAGCGCTTTCTAGAATGAATATATGTTTCTAAAAATAGTTTTCCGCTTATACACTTGAAAGAGCAAAGCTTACTTAATAAGTTAATGTATATATGAATGTATATATGCAAGAGATTGTATGACATATTGTCTATCGCGCATAGATTAGACATTTATTTATGCCTGATTACGTGCGTACTCTCCATTCCACTGGGCCGAATTAATCATTATTCGATTGAAGCACATTGTAATTAAATTTTCTTTCTTATGAACCGACCGATGAACCGGTATAGAAGAGTTTATCAACTATTGGGAAAATTGTGATAGCATTCATTGTATGGAAAATATTCCAAGTTTCTTGCATTAGATGCTTCGTCAATAAAATACCATTAATGCATAATGCACAAGTAAGTACACATTGAGAATTCAAATCTAGTGACATAAATGCGATTTAAATCGGGTGAAAAGTGGAAATTGAGAGCATTCGATATTTTACATATATTTTTCCTCGAAGTGTTCGAATAAAACAAGTGCGAATATTGCAGTCGGGCAAGGTTTAAGACCACTTGACACCCTACACCATTTCGCCTAATACACTCATTTACTCGGTTTGGTGATAATACACAAAATATTACGCATTATTTTCCTGCAAAGGAATACTTTTTATGACGGCCCGAATATTGAAGGATGCTCGAAACATCATCCAACGCGACCCAAATTCTGTGAACTTAATTTACCTCCTAAACATTTGATGATTTTTCAATTTTCGTCAAAAGAGAAACTAGAAATTAGATTTTGTCTTCTCATAAGGGCTTTCTTTTCGCAATAATCTCTAGATATCCTACGATCCTAAGGTCTAGAGCTATGTGGTCTAAATTGTCTGCCGTTAATTATTCTTGTTGAATTGCTGTTATGGAACAATTTTGAGCATAAAATATTAAGATTAAAACCTTTTTTTGAACGCCTTACTATTCATCAAAAATCTTATGTGGACTCAAAGATATTGACCCATGTGGTTCAAATTTGGTTCACTCAATTTTTATGTTAAATTATTATTACGCACAAATTTTTGTCTTGAAACTTTAATAATTACGGTTTTTTGGTATATAAAAGCTGAAATTTCCTGAGCAATCTTATATGCGGTGGTATCCAAAAAATAGATCTACTTGGTCCAAATTCGATAAGGTTGACTTCTGTGTGAATTTGCTATTCTGAACTATGAAATATTGACAATTGGACATTTTTACCATAAAAAGATTCAGTTTTCCTAGAAACGATTGTAGGAAAGCTCGTTCAAAAATTGTTCCCAGCCGAAATAAATTTTTCATCCAAATTTAAAATGTCAAAATACCATTTTGGGGCCACAGCGCGTCAGTATTTCAAATTTCTTCAAAATATCTCAAAAATTGCAAACTGTATGTATACACAGACAGACGTCGAACGGACAGATAAGCTTAAATGATCGGTGTTGGACCTATATTAAGCGTTTCTGTACTACAAGTGTTGCGGGGTATAGATAGATTCCAGTTTTAAAGCCAAAAAAGTTTTTTTTTTAATTTCCTTTTTTTTTTTAAATTTTATTTATCTAAAAAGTGTTTATTGTATCATGATGAGAAGGGCAACTGAGGTTATTGCACCTAATGGGGGTCAATATATAATAATATAGATATAATGTTTAAATACATAAAAAGAAATTATATAAGCTTTGGGGAATTCATTAAAATAATTTAAAGAACAAAACTTAAATCAATTACTAAATGGGAAGATCCAGTATGTGAAGTTTTTTCAATCTTCTTATTTATGGCTTGGAAAATCCAGGTCATCACGTATAGTTACCGAACCACGGGGCATTAACAACAAGACCGAGGATTCTACGTTGATTTTTTTGAAGTATTTCAATTAACATTTTATGTATGGCTGTTCCCCACAGTTGTATGCAGTAGGTTTTAGGATACTTTTGTACAAAATGCGTTGGTTTCTGGGATTACGTAAACGTAATATGCTTAGACTTTCGAGTATTTGTTTTGATATTGCACTTGTGTGCTTCGGAAATCCATGATTTCGTAAGTTAGAAAGAAATAAAATCTGCCTTCGTGTCTCTTGGCAATGTAGTCCCAAATCATCATTGGCTCGAAAAGTTAATCTTTGTGTGTCTTCTTCCCTTTGCAGTGAAAAGACTTCCATATATAGGAAGCGGAGTCTTCAGAGGTCTATTTGCTATTTGCGGGAACACTTTCCATTTTTAAATAAATTATATCTCTCTCTTTCTCTCTCGCTCAAATTATTCTGCCTAAGTTTAGGCATAAATAGGTATTTGTCCAGGGTTTCCAAACGAAGGTAACATTAACTTTGACTTGCAATATTATAGAAGAATGACTACCTGTCAATGGAGTGTATTTCCAGCCATGAAAATCAATTTAATCGAATCTATGCATTCATAAGGGAAGATCTTGGCTGATGCAGTTAGTAGTAGTTCAGAGAAAGATAATGTCGGAGATTGATTGGTTAGTTGGCTGGTCCCCTACAAAAATAAGCTTTTTATCTTGTTTAAAGATTACCTTTATTTCTCTTCTACTTTTCTTACAGAAAAACGGCATCAAAACATCGTTTGAATTAAAACATTGTACAGGTGTACAATGGAGGACCGGTTGAGTGATAAACAAGGCGAAATGGAAGGACTTTGCCGAGATATTAAAACCAATTTAGGCCAAGAAAATGGAAGGTTATTAAGTAATTCGAAACATGAATCTGAGCGACGCGCATGGAGAGAGAAAGGTAATGCAATAATAATGTGTTAAGCCGATATAAGTGGAAACAATGATGGAAGAAGTATAATGTTTGATCGTAGATATATTTGAAAAAGGTAATGGAATAAGGGAAGGCAGCCAGAAATCTGAAGAATCGGTTGAGTGTAATTTGACAGACTTAAGCACAATAAAAAACGCACAAAGAAAACAAAATGATGATTTTATAAAAAAATCCTGTAGTTATAACGAGGAAAACGTTAATTTACACGATCCATCGGTCGAAAGATGCGGAGATAGTGCAAACATTCGAAAGGAGGCAATAAGCGAACATTTGGCTGAGATGCCATACGATACAAGCCAGTGTGGAAAACGCGCCGACATCGTATCACCTGAAAGAGGTAAAACAATAAATCAATCAATTACAGACTGTACTAATCTGGATAACAAGCTCCTATCAAGCGAATGTTCGGATAATAACCAATTGAAATCTTATCCTGCATGTCAATCTTCATGTTCATCAGCACGTTTATTTGCATGCGATGGATTAAGTCATTTCGCGGACATATGTTGTGAAAATGATATAAAAAATGCTTGTTCCTCTCAATCGCTTTTCAAATTAACCAAATCTCATTGCACCAATCCAGCTTTAACAATTCAAAGGCAATCCCCATTTTTAAAATCCATATCTATTGAAATTTCTTACAAATCGCAATCAATTATTTTTAACGCAAATGAGAATCTGTTTTTTCAACACCCAGAAGTCAACGAAAATGTTCAACAGGATGCGAAAAACATATCAATAGATGATGATGATGAATGCTGTGATAAAAGAAATATTGAATCTAGACTTGAAGACTTAGATATGGACCATCGCACCCGGACAATGCTAAAGGGGGGGCTAGACTTAAAAACGCAATCCGTCGAAGTACGGCCGATCTTTCCAAACGTTCCGTATAGCCCTTACGCAAGTCCTTGTAATAGTCCTCAATCAAACAGACGTAGGCCGCCTCTGCGTGAATCTAGACGCGTTTCTATCGAACAAAGCGGAAGTTTCCTACAATTAAATCAATATAAATTATTGGATCAAATCGGTCAGGTCTGCATAATAAATATATAAACAAAATTCATAATATACAATATCTGATTCTTTTTCATTATAGGGATCTTATGGGCTAGTGAAGTTAGCCTATTCTGAAGAAGATTCAACACACTACGCTATGAAAATTTTATCCAAACGTCGCTTGTTACGACAAACAGGCTTTATAAAACGTGGTCCAAAAAAAGTTACTTCGCCATTGGATCGAGTCTATCGGGAAATCGCTGTGTTAAAAAAACTTGATCATCCAAATGTTGTAAAACTAGTTGAAGTCCTTGATGATCCAGTTGAAGATTCTTTGTATATGGTTTTCGAATTGGTTAAACAAGGGGAAATCTTAGCTGTGCCAACTAAAAATCCACTAAGTGAGGAAAGAGCTTGGCAAGTCTTCAGAGATACCTTGATGGGATTAGAGTATTGTAAGTAAATTGAAGCTTTTAAGCGAGTGCAGTTCTTGTAAAATTCTATTTATTGCTCACTTATTTCTAGTATATAAGTCTCAAAATCTAATAGTTTTTAAGATTAACTAAGCATAGTTGAATACATAGACACACGTGTATAAACAAACCATTAAACCAAAGAGAAAATTTGAACTAAACATTAAAAATTTTTCAGTGCATCACCAGCGCATTATTCATGGTGATCTTAAGCCCGGAAATTTGTTACTGACCGATTGCGGTCGCGTTAAAATCGCTGATCTGGGAGTATGCAATGAATTCATTGGAGAAAGTGCGATCATAACGAGCGGTTCTATTGCAGGGACACCTGCCTTTCGAGCACCGGAGACATTAAATATTGGTCAGGTGAGTTGAGCGACATTTTCTTTGTTTATTTTCAGTGTTCACCGCATCTAACTTTTGCTCGGGCCTGCTATTCAATCCAATAATATTATTGTTTGCTCTTCTTCTTTAGCCAAACATTTATTGTGGAAAAGCAGCAGATATCTGGGCTTTAGGAATAACACTCTACGCCTTAGTGTTTGGAAATGTTCCTTTCGCACACAATTCGATCCCAATTTTATATGAAAAGATCAGAACCGAATGCGTTCATTATCCTGACGCTCCTATTATCAGCACCGAGCTTCGGGATTGTATCGAAAGGATGCTAAAGAAAGGGCCTGCTGAGCGTATCACTTTACCGCAATTAAAGGTACGTCACGCCTCAGCTAGGATTACATTTACAGACAAAAGGCCATGTTTTTGCAAAGGAAAGCTTTACTCATTCGCTGTATGAAAAATGTGTGGGATCGGTCGTCAAGTGATCATTTCGATTTATGAACTAGAATCCATATCAATTTTTAAAGCTACTACAAATAGATACTAACAAGTGAAAAGAAGAGAATCCGTAATATTTCTTTAATGTAAACTTTGTTTCAGATGCTTAAATGGGTAACTAAAGATGGTATGCAGCCTTTGCCAAGTGAAGAGGAAAACTGTAGATTGGTTCATGTAGGCGATGATGAAATGAACGGAGTCGTTCGAAGTATACCAAAATTAGATACTTTAATCCTGATCAAAACTATGTTGAAGAAACATTCGTTTGGGAACCCATTCTCTAAAGGTAGATCAAAAACTGGTGGATCTCGTTTCGAGCGTTTTGCAAATGCGGGACGATCAAATTCTGCGCCTAGCTCATGTAACTTATTTTCTGATAGGTTAGTACTATTTAACGTTTTCAATGCTGAACGTCTCATTAACATATTTATCACCAGGCCATCATCCGGTGATAATATTCTTCCAGCTTTAACGGAGATATCAGGTTCATATAGCACAAACGAGGAATTACAATAACTTATACATATTTACAAATGAACACAAAAATATGTGCGCACAATTCCGTGATTATAATCGCTCTGATTTTAAACGACCTTGGGGACTAATTTATGAGTCCTTAAAACGAAATCGTAATTCTCATTTTTCGAACTGGATTAAGATTGATCTGAGCAAACCAATCAACAGTTTGAGGAAAAGGAACAAAATAAAACACTTTTATAGAACTCTTACGATCATCGCTATAACGCGCACATACACATTAAAGACTTCATATTGAGTGGAAGTACTTGCACGTACGCATTTCCGCATTTCTACGTTAATTCTAAGAGGGAAATTAATTGCTTTGCAAAAAATATTTTAATGCGCGCCAAGTCCATTATTACCATTGTTGAAAAAAATTTTAATCGTATCTTAAGGAGAAAAACTACCAAAAAACTTTTCTATACTATGGATATCGACCGTCTCTCCGCTTATAAGGATTGTTAGGAACCATTGTAAATTTTTGTGTAATAACGCGACTGCACGATTTGAGCGCTAAATGGACTGCATATTTAGTATTCTAGATGATGCTTCATTTTTTGCTTTGCACTTATTCTTATTAGAATGAATGAAAATTCGTAAAAAAAAGCTTTGCTTACACTTTATAATTATATAAAATTTAGTTATAATTTTTTATTAGCTTTAACTAGATTATTGAAATTGTTTCGGGACCATAATGAATCTGCAGCATTATTGATGACGAACAAATATTATTTCTTTACTCAATTTCAATAAATTTATTAATTCGTCTTAATTTCTAATAAATAAAAAAAAAAAACAAAAGAGAAAGAAATGAAGCTTCTATACAATGTGTAATGTGGTCTCCAATAGATGCTTTATAGACCAAACAATTTTTTATTTATGTTATAATATGTCGATATATCAATCAATATTTTAACCAAGGTGCGTTATATTTAGCTTTAATTTTTTTAGTATAAAGATACATAATTTATATATGAATATTAAGAAGAAATACTATATAAAGTCTGAAATAAATCAAAAAAATTAATTCACTCATTTAGTTGCTTTCATTTTAAGCCTTGGCTGCGGATTAGGAAAGCGTAACATTTACAAAAGTGCTGCCATTTTAAATTCATTGCGATCTCTCAAGTAAATTTCTGAGTTTCAAGCGCATAACAGAGCGAAAAAGAGGAAGACAATAACGCTGTTCAATAACGCTTTTCTGAAGTGAAAACACGAAAAGTCTAGAATTCGATTGTTACGATTAATTATAGTTAAATTCGAAGCTAAGGCTTTCTACTTTTAAGCAGGTATGGA